TTCATTCTTTTTGATGCTATTGTAAATGGGATTGTTTTCATAATTTTTTTTTTTGGATAGTTCATTGTTAGTGTATGGCAATGATACCGATTTTACTGTGATTGTTTTGCATTCTGCAACTTTAGTGAATTCATTTATTAGTTGTAACAGTTTTTAGGTGGAATCTCTAGAGTTTTCTATATAAAATATGTCATCTGCAAAACAGAGATGATTTCACTTTTTCTTTCTGTTTTGGATCGCGCTTGCCTAATTGTTCTGGCAAGGACTTCACTGTGTTGAGTAGAAGTGGTGAAGAGTGGGTGCTTAATCTTGTTCCCGATCTTTGAGGAAAAGCTTTTAGCTTTCCGCTGTTGAGTATGATGTTAGTTGTGCGCTTGTCGAATATGACCTTTATTATGTTGAGGTACATACCCTGTATTCTCCGTTTGTTGAGAACTTTTGTCCTGAAAGGTGTTGAATTTTGTCAAGTGCTTTTTCTGCATCTACCAAGAGGATCGTATGATTTCTATCCTTCATTGTTAGTGTGGTGTATCACATTTATTGATTTGCGTGAGTTGAATCAGCCTTGCATTGCAGGGATAAATCCTACTGGATGGTGGTGTACGATCCTTTCAAGGTGCTGTTGAATTTGGTTTGCTAGCATTTTGTTGAGGATTTTTGCATCTGTGTTCATCAGGGTTATTGGCCTGTAATTTCCCTTTTTTTTTTAATGTCTTTATATTGCTTTGGTAGAGGATAATGCTGGCCTTGTAGAAGGAGTTTGGAAGTGTTCCCTCCTGTTCAGTTTTTTGGAAGAGTTTGAGAAGGATCGGGATCTTTCTTTAAATGTTTGGTAGAATTCACCTGTGAAGCCACCTAGTTTGGGGCTTTTCTTCGTTGGCAGGTTTTTAATGATTGCTTCAATTGCTTTACTTGTTATTGGTCTGTTCAGATGTTCTGTTTTTTCATGATCCAGTTTGGGTATGTTGTATGTCTCTGGGATTTTATCCAGTATTTGTAGGTTATCTAATTTGTTGGTGCATGACTGTTGATAGTTTCTTATGAACCCTTGTATTTCTGTGATGTGTAATATCTCCTCTTCCATTTATAATTTTATTTGAGCTCTGTGTTTTTTTTCTTGGTTAGTCTAGCTAAATGTTTGTCAATTTTATTTATCTTTTCAAAACCAACTCTTGGTTTTATTGATCTTTTCTGTTGTCTTTCTAGTTTCCATTTTATTTTTGCTCTAACCTCTTTATGTCTTTCCTTCGGTTAATTTTGGGCTTAGTTGTCTGTTCTTTTTCTTAGTTTGTTCTTTTTTTCTTGAGGTGTAAAGTTAGGTTATTTGAGATCTTTCATAATTTTAATGTAGGCATTTATCATGATAAACTTCTCTCTTAGAACTGCTTTTGCTGAATCCCATAAGTTTTTCTATTTTTATTTTTTAAATATATCTTTATTGATTTCAGAGAGAGGAAAGGAGAGGGAGAGAGAGAGAGATAGAAACATCAATGATGAGAGAGTCACTGATCGAGCCCTCAGGCATGTGCCCTGACCGAGAATTGAACCCCGATCGCCTGGATCCTAGGGCAACGCTCAACCTCTGAGCCACCCCCGGCCGGGCTGTATCCCATAAGATTTGATATGCTATTTGCATTTGTCTCAGGATACTTTTTAATTTCCCTCTTGATTTCTTCTTTGACCCACTGGTTGTTCAGGAGTGTGTTGTTCGATTTTCAAATGTATTTGAGAATTTTCTATTTTTCCTCCTGGTATTGATTTCTAGTTTCATGCCACTCTGGATGGAAACATATCAATTCAATATACTTAAATTTAAGACTTGTTTTCTGGCCTAACGTATGATCTACCTGGAGAATGTTCCATGTCCACTTGAGAAGAATTTATCTACTGCTATTGGGTGGAATGAGCTTTGTGTGTCTGTTAGGTTCTTTATATATTATGTCTTAATTTTTAAAAAATATATTTATCATCAATTTCAGAGAGAGGAAGGGAGAGGGAGAGGAAGACAAACATCAATGATGAAAGAGAATCATGGATTGGCCGCCTCCTGCACGCCCCCTGCTGGGGATCGAGCCCACAGCCCAGGCATGTGCCCCGACAGAATGGAACCGTGACCTCCTGGTTCATGGGTCGATGCTCAACCGCTGAGCCACGCCAGCTGGGCGTCTTTCTCCGTTTTTATGTTCCCGATTTCTTTGTTGAAGTTCTCACTAAGTTCATCTTCCCCTGAGTTCCTTGAGGAACCTTGTGTCCAGTGTTTTGAACTCTGCATCTGGCAGATTGCTTGTTTCCACTTTTCTTTCTTTTTCTGGAGCTTTGTTCTGTTCTTTCATTTGGGACATGTTTGTCTCCTCATTTGGGCTGCCTCCCTGTGTGTGTTCCTATGTATTAGGTAGAGCTGCTACGTCTCCCATTCTTGGTAGAGTGACCTTATGCAGTAGGTGTCCTACAGGGCCCAGGCGCGTAGCCTCCTTGGTCACCCGAGCAGGCTGCTCCAGGTGTGCCCCCATGTGAGCTGTGTGCACCCTCCTGTTGTAGGCCCTTCAGTGGGAGGGATTGACCCCCCAGGCCAGTTGGCTGTGAGGACTGGCCACCATGGAGGAGCTGCTGTGCAGGGGCTGACCTTATGGGGCAGGACTTACTTCATCAGGACTCTGGTGCCTGCTGAGTCCGCCCCTTCTGGGTGTCCCTTGTGAAGGATGCCGGGTGGCGCTTCCACATGGTCTGAAGCTATCCACCAGGTGTGCTGGCTCTGGGGCCTCCTGGGAGGTGCAGGCCACGGTCAGCCACTGCCTGTGCTCTGCCCTGGGCCATCCAGCAAGAGCTACAAAGCGACCGGCAGATGGCTGTTGCTGTGCTGGGCTTGGAGATGCCTGGGAGAAGCCACGGTGCGAACCAAGGCCAGCTGCTACCAGTGCTGGGCGGGGGCCTCTTAGCCAGAGGTACCCGGCACACCGAGGCCAGGTGCTGCTTGTCTGAGAGGTGTTAGGAAAGTCTGCAGCATGAGCCGGGAGAGGACATTTGTAAAGAAAAGCCACTGGAAACGGCCTTGGTGGGCCAGAGAAGTTGGGTAGGGCTGGATCTCAGGGAATCACCAGGGCTGGATGGTGTTAGCCAGGCTGACGGAGACTCAGATGTGGTGTTCCCTGCTGGCTCTGTGGGCAGAGGGCTCAGGAAAGGAACAAAGGACTCTGCCGGTACTTCTGCCTGGGAGAGAGTTGCTCCTCTAGCCCTTGCCCCAAAGCCAGACAATTCAGTTCCTCCCCTTATGGCCTGGGTGCCTTTCAAGCTGCTGCCCCCACCCTGGAGCTGAGAGAGCGCGAATCGGACGGAGTACGTCCATGCACTGGCTCTTTAACAGAAACACAGTCCCTGCTGGGGTTAACCGCCTCGGCCATCTGCAGGTTTCCCCGGCAGGACCTGCCACACAGTCCTATCCAAGAGGAATTAAAAAATTTGATGAGTGCCCGTGTTTTCTCCTAACCATACAGTGTGGGTTTAGTTTTAATAACTTGCCATGAGGTCAGCAGGAGACAGCGAGGGTGTCAGGATGAGGTTTCTTTCTGAAGTTGCTACCCATCAGAAATGGAGATTAGCTATTTGTAGGCGGAAGGGTGAAGGAATGGTGATTAGGGGACTTGGGGCATCTTCAGGATTATGTGACACATGGAATTGTTGGTGCCACTTAGTTTGCATGTCCTGAAGTTGGTCTTGTGTTTTACTGTATTGTGGCCCAACTGTCATTCATTCCCGCAGTCACCGTGTGGGTGTGCCTGCCCTTCCAAGGGCTTTGGTATTCACCTCAGTTCTAGAACAAGTTGCTGCAGAGGGCGATACAGATGCTAATGACGACTGTGTCCAATGTATGAGCTTCCCAAGGGCCTGTACTACCCAGTGAAAACCGTTAACTATAGAAGGTGCTGCACCTCCAAGTACTGGGGTCCTTGGGGCCCGGCTGTGCCCCACCTTCCCACACGGTGTCTCAGCACTTCCTGCGTGGGTTGTCCTGTGGCTACACCCCAGCATCCAGCCGGGCAGAGCAGGGCCTCACCTCAGCCACGCTGCTTTCTCTGCTTAGAATGTCCTCTCCGTGTCCCAACACCATCTCTTCCCGCTCAGTCCCTGACTTTCTGAGTGCCCTCCCAACATCAATTTCTCTCAGATGAGTGATGTTCGTATTTTCTCTCCCTGAGGGCAGGATCTTGGCTGATGATGTGTGATGTTACAAGTGTTTTAGCTCCTTGAAAGTGTAATCCAAGGCTGCTCTCTTGGTCTCTAAATATCATGGATAATGAACATTTTGTGGTATTTAGGCAATCAGTGATCTTTTCTCTCTTCCTGTGGTTGATACAACACTCATTTTCCTAATCAAATATTGATATGAAAGTTATGGTTGTCAATACAATTCACTCACCATTTTATTGCATCAAAGCAAGGAGGAAAATATAATGCTGTTCTCCTCAAAACTATTTTAACCATGGGCTGCTGGGTTGAAAATTAAATGCCATCTTACAAAAAAAATACTGAATTCTAAAGACCCTTTTGTATGCTCTATAAAAACACCTCACATAAATAGCTGCTTTTGGAACTTGGCTGCATTGAAGGGTTATCTGGGTCTTCCAGGAATTCTGTTGGAGGTGCAGTTATTACTGTCAGAGCATGAGTCAGTCTTCACCATGCATGCACGTGTCTATAGTTATCATGTCTTTTGTTCAGTTTCCTTATGATGTGGAAGAATGTGATTTTGGTGTAAATCTTGTCAGGTTCAAGTTCAGCCAGTACTTGTTTCTATTGTGTGTCCCTGGGCCTAGGCCTGGGCGGCTTCCTTGATGTATGATCTACAAAGCCAGCCTTGATGAGTCCATTTGTTTTGTGTGGTGACTGTCTGCTGTGATGTGTTCTAAAGGCAGCATCTCCTCCCAGCCCCCCCCCCACAGGTCTATAGTGGCTCTCCTGACCCAAAGATAGGGTGGTCTTTTCTCTGTGTAGCAAGAATCATAGTACATCAAAATGCTTTTTATTTGAGACACAAAAATGCAAAATTGCTGAGATATCAAACATTTTCCAATCCGCTACAATACTGCCACTATGTACAAAATTTCTGATGATAAATGTGCACACATATAAAAATACAGTATGCATTACTATGTACAGTACATGTGCAAAATGTATGGCATTCAAACATGATATGGAATTGATTTCAGGGGTGCAAACAGCAAATACAAAGGCATCATGGTTCTTTTAGAAAACAACATAAAGGCAATACATGAATGGACCCCCGACTGCCATAATTTTTTGTTTCTTAAACGAGTGCTTTAATAAGCAGGGCTCTGTAGATTGGTATTTTCTCCTTTTTTTCATAAAGTGAGATGCTAAGACATAATGTGACAATGAAAATAAGAGGAGAAACACCTATCACGTTGCATTTCTATTGCAAGCAAGAAAAGTAATTTGTATGTAGAAAGGAAAAAACTTTGTATTACTACTAAATATGTACTATTCCTAAACCAACAAAACAAATCTATACTATTTTACATGAAAACAATAGAGAACTATCTACACCTTTGTGAAAATTATAACCTTAAATGGATAATACACTTTTGGGACTGATTTTTGAGAGCTCATTAGTCTCAAATTTTAAATAAAAAGTGCCTCCTTTTGGCAAATACTTGGCAATGCCTTTGGTTCCTTTAAAGCAAGTTTGCATTACTATTGGTTACTTGAGGTTAAGTACTTTTGGTAGATACTAAACCCTTTCCTAAATGCTTCTCCCTCCTATCGAATCAGCACGTTTCTACAGCGTAATGTAGAGAGGTAATTGTTATGAGTCTCTGTGATTCGTGAACTTGGTTAAAGCTTTGTCTTAGTAGTTGGCACAAAGCTCTGTTAAACATGACAGCTGTGTCGATTATCACTGGTGACATATTTTATCTGATTCCAGACAGCACCTTGAGGATCTGAGATTGCCATCCTGTTGTTACAAAGCTGTGACACTTTTTCAATGATTCAGAGCAATGTGTTTGCGTGGAGGGTTAGAGCGCTTTGTAAACATGTGCAGCTTTTTAAATTACAGGCTCCAAATCAAAGGTTCCCAGGAGAAACGCTTTTCAGGGATGCATTTCCTCCAATGCTGAGAGAAGGGCGAGCAGGGAAGACATACACTGCCATGCAGTCACTTCACATGTAAAGAGTAGCCTAGAAAGATCACTGAGCAAGCTCTCCAAAGTTTGAGAAGGAATTACTACATCTGAATTAATTCCAGTTTTGACTGAAACCACCGAAAAGATGAGCTGCACTGCAGGTAGGATGCTCTCCAAACCACACAGGTCTGCACTTGTAAGCTGTGTTTCTTGATGACCCTGACCTTCCAGTTAAGGGTTTTGATAATCTGGGCTAACTCTGTGGCCTCTAGGGCAGTGGTCAATCTGTTTGGTGTCTGCTCAGCTGCCCGTAGCCAGGATTCATGTTTGCAGTGATGGATGGAAGAGCGGAGGGTTGCTTGTGAATGTGGTTAATGGACCTGTGCTGCTCGCTGGTAGACACCCAATAGCTATCCTCCCTAACATTCTCTAAAAGTCCCCAGGGGTGCTGGACACCCCCACCCGACCGACAGCGGCATGGGAAAGGCCTGCCACTAGGCGGCCCCCGGAAACGGTGTGAGGTGTGCCCTGGTCGCTGCCAGAGAGCTTTACCACTTCGCTGCGGCCAGTAGAGGGACTGTCCTGGCACTTGTGGGGACAGCTGTCTTGTCAGCTGCTGTGGCTGGTCAGTGGGAAGTCTGAAAGGATGAAGCTCTGTGGCCTGGAATGGTCTGAGGTTGAGGGTGAAGAAGCCTGCATCAGCTCTGGTGACAGAATGGGTGACATGCTCTTGACATAGCTCAGTGTCACTGACTGCAGTTCTGTGGCGCTTATTACCATGACTTTGCCTACAACAGGCGCAGTTTGGAGGCAACACCGGACTGCCTTGGCCACTTGTTCTTGCTGACCAGTCACGAGTATACCCATGTTTCTGTGTCTGAATGATGTTGACTGGTCACGAGATAACTCGTGTCTGTGTGTTAATTTAAGTAATTTCAAGGTCTGAAAGCAGTGTCGAGTTTTCAAAGAGCAGAAAAGTAGCCTGCCATCTGGGCGAGTTCTGGCTCGAAGTAGCTGGTCAGCAAGGTGTTAAACTGCACTTACAGGAGTGTCAGTTACATGGGCCACAGAACTGTGCAGTTTTTAAAAAGGAAATTTAAATAAGATCTCTTTAGTATTATAAAAATATTCATATAAAACAGATATAGTATCTGAACGAGAAATTCCACGAATTCAGAATATATCTATGTACAACTACGTGGCAAATACTATACAGTAGATTGCACAGTTCAGGAAAAACACTAGGACCTGAACCATCAGCACTGGGCCTAAGGTTTTCTAGCACATGCTTTGCTGAAATGTACAAGATGACACACCCTGGACTTCCAAAGACTGTGTAGAAGCTTTGGTACAACTCCTGTGCATCCCATCCCATGACATGACCAGACACCTATATACACTAGAAAGGTAAGCTTGACACTGCTGTGTTTCAGGAATATTTAGGGAAATAAGACTGATGTGAGATAACACATTTCTGGGAGTTGTTTGGCAATAGGATATTCTGCAAGATGATCCACAGCAGTACCACCTCTAAACTACACACTGAAAATCCAGCTGGCTGTCTGACCTGGGTTTTAAAGGCTGTGAACCTCACCTCCAACACCACAGTCCTCTTTAGCAAACACACGCCTTTCCCACTACATTTACCTCTAAGTACACTGAGTGAGGGCAAAGGAGCCTGGATTACAGAGCATCATCTTTGGTCACGTCACATGCTGCACGTGGTCTGTGTCCTCACTCTGACCTGGAACATGTAGATGGGACCCGGGAGAGCAGCATGGTGCCCAGCTTGCTGCTCAGGCCAGGCCAGGCGGGCCCAGTGGAATGGTGAGAGTAGGTGGCTGGTAGACTTAATAACCAGACTCCTTGCCTGCCTGCCTTTGAAGGAAATTCTGGTACATAAGGTTTGAACACAGATGTAGAGTGGGCACAACAGCAACATAGTCCAAAGAGCAGGCTAGTGAGATGGCATTCTTTGCACTGTGGAGTATGTTTGGAGAGCAGCCTTCCTGTGGCATGTGTCAAACCCTATTATAAAAAGGCAACAAGGGGGCCTGAGGGCCAGGAAACGATCTTTGCACACAACTCGGGAAGATGGAAACAGAAAGTTCTTTAACGAAAAGTTCTTTAACGAGAGTCAGCAGCACTAGTGTTCAGTTGCCTCCTATAGTCCCACTGATATTTGGTGCTAATAAGCCATTTAAATCTGAATAAAGATGACACGTAGAGTCCAAGTATGGACCAGATAAGCTCCAGAAAAAACCCATTGCTAAGACCTGCCCTAAGAAAGTACCTTTCTGAGTCCACAGCCCTGCCCTGGAGACAGGCCCTTCTGAAAGGAAATGACTCGAAGATGCACATCGTGCGCACGACAGAGCTCTCGCTGGGCTTGGTCAGACGGCGGCGTTCTGGGCCCCGTGCACGGGATTACCGACTGCTAACAGTTAAATTACTCACCCGGACCACACTGAACACCGCCTCTGCCCGGAACCGTTCAGAAGCCTTCGAGTTGGGAAGTGCCAGTTAACAGAGGGCTCCAGGGTTCTGGGTGACTGAGTTCTGGAAAAACGGACTTTTCTTACATGTAGTGAAATTTACAAACTGAAATAAAAATTTGAAATAGTATCAGCTCTTAGGCAAAACACAAACCTAGAAATGATTCACAAATTCTTTCCAAATAATGGGTCAGGTTGCCTCTCCATGACCCAGAAAGAGCAGCCCGACCCCCAGGCTCACACAGGCGAGGTGGAGAGCACGAGAATACTATTTAATGAAAACCTCCACACTTTTTGGTAGATTTCAGGATTTTTTTTCAGTTATATACATTTTGTCATATGCTTAAATGACTATTTTGAAATCATTTTGGAAATCCTGTGATAGTTGGCATTTTAGAAAATTCTTAAGAAACTACTCAACAAGTGTGATAACTTTCTATATAAAAAAACTAATAAAACCTCCAGTTTTTTGATCTTCGGCTTGATCATATAGCGAGAACTCAGGTATGTCCAGTTCCAAGCCTGTAAAACGATGACCAGGATGAGTGACAGAGAAGAGGGCAGCCAGAGCTGGAGTCCATAGGCCAGTCTAACCTGTAACCATTGTGGGAATGTCCTGGGAACGAGAGACTTCTCCCTTGCCTCGTTTTGCGACTCACCAGCTCAGAAAGATATTTTACACTGAAGCCTTTTCTTGGTTCTTTGAGATGGGTCTGGTTACCTGAAATACATGTGGCTCAAGTACTCTAGAAACGTTCGCGTTATTAAAAGAAGTAGGGCCACTGGATACCCAATTCCTTACCCCAATGCAGGCTGTACAAATCTCAACGTAGAGTGCAGATATAAATGTCTAATTTATACATTAAGTCAATCTAATCAACCCAGAGGGATGCTAACAGAATTTTCAGTATTATCAATAGACCTGGACTTTTTACAGGAGATTGTTTTTGATAGTATTTTGAAGACACTGTCTGGTTATGGTGGAAGAACTTACATTTAAATTTAAATTTGGAAATCTAAAGATTCCAAAAACCACAAAATAAACTACAACACAAATTACATTGGTTTCTGAATGGAACCAAGTCTTCAGCTGGAAGCTGTCGCTGGACTGGCTGGTGCTCTCCTCGGCCTTGGATCCCTGCTATGTCTTGGGCCGGCTCAAGCCACGTCTAGAAACACACGGTGGTGATCTCTCACCTCCCTCACACCGGCATTCTTGTTTCATTGGAGCTGTCTGCCTTGTATTTAGGGCCTGAAAGTGACCACAGAGGTTTAAATGTAGTTGATTACCAGAGAATCCGTACTTGGTTCTCCTGTGCACATTACTCTGTTTTTATCTAAAGGTACTTTTCATTCTTTACTGGTTTGGAGAAACAGGTCTTCTTTGACTAGTGATTTTTCAGAAGGCCCTGTGCTATATAAAACCGTAGACATTCACTGCTGGGTGCAATGAACGTTCTCAAACTTGGTTTCCACGCTGTGACCATCTATCTGTTCTTTCTGTGACAATATATTTTCATTGCAACGATGCAACTATGGATCTGTCTCTTAAAAACTGACCTTTTAGACTCATCCTCTTAAACCTCGTGACCTCAGACAAGAATCTGTGATGTTAGTCCCATGGCAATGGCAGGTCTTGTGGGTCTAGAAAGTCAGCAGAGAACATGCTTGGGGCAGTGGCACTGAGAGGTGTGAGTCCCGACGAAGTGTTGGGCATGGTGATGTCTAACCACTCCATGTTGTCCAGGTTTGAGTCAGAGAGGTCAAGTGACAGACAGGGAGTACTTGCGGCAAACTGGGCCTCGGAGGTTTCCATGGGTGAGTGCGAGTGGTCCAGCATGCCCGAGTGACTCAGCAGGTCATTATGGAGATCCTCAATTAGGGAGAAGGGCTCTCTGTCCTCGCCGCTGCTTTGTAGTGGAGTAATTTCATTGGCTGAAGGTAAAGTCCCATCCAGGAAAGCTTCTAGTTGGTTCTCTAAGCTGGCAGATAAACTGCTCATAGGTTCTAAGGATATGGGTGGTGCCATTTGGACTTGGGGTGGTGGCCGGGACACCACTGTGTTGACTGGCATTGTGGTGATGCTGGCTGTCACTGGTCTCATTTTGGAAATAGGAGAAGGCTCTTCCTTTATAGGGAGGGAAATCTCTGTGCAAAATGAAATAAGTAATTAGTAAAGATTTACTATTTAAAATTTGTATTACTAAGACAGCTATTTTTGCACTGACTTAATACACAGTCCATCTTAGAGGTAGGAAGAGAATGCTATTGGTCCTTGATAACCTTTAGGATGATGGGTCATTTTAGTTAAATATTTACATTGATAACATTCTGATATGCTTTTACTTCTTTTTCGTACGAGTAAGCATTAAAAGCAATTATATCCCACCAGGCAGGAGTTGCTGGTTTTAGATGATCTGATCACTGGGTCCTATTCTCGGTAGTTTTAGGTGTAAGATAGCGCTCGAATCTGCACCACGAATCTGCGATTACAGCAGCACACCACCCCGAAGGGAATGTGCAAACGCGTATCCCCAGTGTCATGAAAGATCTAATTATATGTGTTCTTTTTTATCATTGTAGTTGAACTGTGTATCCCATTTAGCCATATAAATGCTATATAGAGTTCTGAAAAGATACAGTGTCATCTTATGTCACTTTTCTTTCTTTTTGTTAGTCTCCACCCGAGGATATCTTTTCCATTGATTTTTGGAAAGAGAAAGAAACATCAACGTGAGAGACACAGTGATTGGTTGCCTTCCGCATGTGCCTGGACTGGGGCTGGGGATCAAACCCCCGACCCTTTGGTCCACAGGCCGATGCGCTAACCACTGAGAAACCCAGCCAGGGCAATCTTATTTCAGAATTAAAGCTAATGGCTCTTTTGACCTTATTTAAGATGAAGTGGGTCACCTTATTTTTCTCACTTTTTTGTCTTGTTTCTTGAGTTTATATAAAATCTTGAGGATTTGGTAAATGTGGCAAATTAACGGACCATCTGCTATAGATATCAGTGTTCACTTAACTACATATATTTAAAAAGTGTATTTTTCACTCTTATGAGTATCTGATTTCGTTTCATTTATATGCAGACACACTAAAAACTTGACTTAATAATAGCTCTTACAACTCAGTGAATGACTGGGATGTGTAAACAGGTGAGAGAAAACATTGCAGATTTGATCCCTCTGTGTAAACCATCAACTGTGTGCTGTATGCGCTCTCAGGACAATTTGTTACTTTTCAATATCTGTGAGTCATCTATAGAATTGTTTTGAAAGCTGAAAGTATAATCTAGGTAACTAGTCTTATAATCAACTATTTAAATCTCTGTTCTCATTGTTATTGGTATTCACAATAAGATGAAATAATATTAGATACTCTGCCATAAAAAATCATTCCTTTGAGCCCTGGCCCGTGTGACTCAGGGGTTGGAGTGTTGGCCGGCACACCCAGGTCACAGGTTTGATTCCTGGTCAAGGGCATGTACCTGGGTCACAAATTCGATCCCCAGCCCTGGTCGGGCGCATGTGGGATGCAACCAATCAATGTATTTCCTCCCCCTACCCCTCTCCCTCCAAATCAATGGAAAAAATATCCTTGGGTGAGGATTCACAAAAAAACCAAACCAAACAAAAATAGTCATTTCTTTGATGACTGTCACATTTTAATTTCCAAGTTTAAAAATTATTCTTTTTAATCATTTAAAAAGGTACTTTCACCAGATTTGGCAAAAAAATTTTTAAAAATTTTAAATTCAGGATATGGAATGTCTGTTTCTCTAATTATAGTTTAGATATTTAATGATTTAAATTATTTTCCAAGGCCAATATATAGTTCTTTGGAGGAAAAAAAAAAAAAAAAAAGCTATTCATGCTATTGGTACCCATAGATCTGCAGTCAAATATCAAAAATTTTCTATATTATGCCAAACACTGTGATGGGATCATTAATGTCAAAATCAAGTAGTACCTGGTATGAATGGAGAAATTTTGATAACTATTTAAAAAGCTGAATAAAACTCCTTTCCCTGGGAAATTTAAGACTACTTTAAAATAGTTCAAAATAGCATTTTAATTTTTGAAGTATTTGTAAGCTGAGGCAAAGATATCTTTGATTTTGTGTGGTTTATATCCCTTTTTAAGACGACACATGTAAAATCTAAGATTTTCAGTTATATGTAGAAAGTTAGTTTTAGAATTGCCTTGGCATATTAATAAAGTTACTAGACCCCAAGCTAGGTAACTTGGTTGTCTCCAAATTAACTCATGAATTGGAATGTTTTTATCCCATTGCAATGACTGATACAACATATGGAATAAGTTTTGAAGTTTGCAATGTGGAATTTAAATCTGTCTATTTTGCTATTTTGAGATGGTTTATCTTTTTCAGCAGGTATGTACCTGTGAGTAAATATAACATTATCTCACTATTTTAACCTGAAACAATGGTTCTTCCTCCATTTATAAGAAAGTTGTTTTAATGGCCTAAATTTAACAGATTTTAAAACAGTAAATTCAGTTAGAATATGTGAGCTCTAGAGGAAAACTTTCATAAACTTGTGATAAGGGATTAGGGGTCTGATGTGGCTTTTGACTTACCTCCACTCTTAATGAGGATATCAAAGAGGTCGTCCATCTGCTGACTATGTGCATTGGAAATCTACAGCCAAGGAGAACATAAATTAGCTTTCATACAAACCCGAAGTGTTACAGCACCAAGGGGCCTTACAGATCAGCTAGTTCTTATCAATCCATCATTTTGAAAACACTGAGGTCCCCTGGGAAGTGAAACCATTTACCCAAATGTCACAGCTTGTTAGCTGACAGAGCAAAAATGGGGCTAATGCCCAGCTCAACTCAGCTCACCTTTACACTGACTTGTACATTGATTGCATTTTGAGAGGCTTCTCATATTTTAAAAAATATTTTAGTTCACTTGCATTCTGGTAAAAATATACAGTATGGTATAAATGTGATCATGCTGTATTTTTTCAGCTTTATTGAGAGTAACTTGACATATAGTAAATTGCAGTTATATGAAATACACAATTTGATAAGTTTTGACATGTGTACAGCCATTAAACTATCAGCAAAATCAAGACAATATTCCACTGCTCCTAGTTTCCTCATGCTCCTTTGTGATAGTACTTCCTTCATCCCTAGGCGACACTAATTTGATTTCTTACATTATAGATTAGTTTACATTTTCTGGAGTTTTATACAAATGGGCTCATATAGTATGTACTCTTTCTTGGGGGTGTGTGTGGCTTCTTTCACTAAATATGATTTTGAGGTTTATCCATGTTGTAGATTATACCTTAGGAATAATTTACTCCTTTTTACCACTGAAGTTTTTTATTGTAAGAAACAGAAGTCTGACTGGGTTGTTACTTGATTTTGGCCATTACAGATAAAGCTGCTATGAACATCTGTGTACAAGTCTTTGAACAGACATATGCTTTCTTCTCTTGGGTAAATACCAAGTGGAATGACTAGATCATAGGGTAGGTGTGTTTAAGAAATGGCTGTTTTCCAAAGTGACTGCACCATTTTACAGTTCTAGCAGCAATGTATGAGGTTTCCAGTGGCTCTACATTCTCTTCAACACTCGGTACAGTTGTCCACTTTAATTTTAGACATCTAATAGGTGTGCTGTGGGAGTTAATGTGTATTTCCCCAATGACTTGGTGTTGCATCTTTTCACGTGCTTTTCTGCCATCTGTGTATCTTCTTTGGTGATGTGTCTGTTCAAATCCTTTGCCTATTCCAGACTTTTCATGCTTACTGTTTTTATGGTATGTTTTTCTAACCATTTATTTTCAACTTGTGTCTTTATATTTAAAGTATGCTTCTTGTAGAAGCACACATTAGTTATCTATTGCTCTATTATAATTTTTCTAAAACAGTGGCTTAAAACGCTAAACGATTACTATCTCACAGTTTCTGTGAGTCAGGAATTTAGGAATGGTTTAGATGGGTAGTTCTGGTTTGGGGTCTTCCACCAGGTTGTAGTCAAAATGTTGGCCAGGTTACAGCTATCTCCAGGCTTGGCTGGAGAATGTTCTTGTAAAGGTGGCTCACTACACGACTGGCAGGTTGGTGCTGGTTGTTGATGGGGACGGGGGCGCTTCAATTCCTGTCCACATGGCCTCTCTCAGATCTGCTGGACTGTCCATGTGGCATGACAGCTGGCTTTCCCCCACAGCCAGCAGTCCAAGAGGGAGCAAGGCAGGAGAGGTGTGCCTTTTATCAGTCTGTTTCAGAAGTCACACACCATAATTGCCTATTCCATTCATTAGGTGCCAGTCACTAAGTCCAACCAGGGAGGACTATCAGAGAATTTGCAGACATATCTTAAAACTTCCATACAGCATGTAGTTGGTTCTGTGTTGTTGTTTTTTAACTCATTCTGATAATCTCTACTACTTTATTATATTGTTTACTAGTGTGTCTTGTGTAATCATTGCTATGGTCAAGTTTATATTGCTATTTTACTGTTTCTATTTGTCCTGTTTTCTGTTTCTCTTTTCCTGTCTGTAAAAAAATTTTTGATTTCTTTGAATTCTAAATTTTCATTTTTAAAAAGCTATAGTTCTTAACTTACTGTAGCTATGCAATATACACCCTTAATTTTTCATAGGCTACTTAATGATGCATATAAAATATAAACCCCTGTAACCATATAGATCTATTTATTTCCTGCATCCTTTATTAATTTTAAGTAAATATCATACCTATATATTTTATAAAGCCCTCAGGACATTATAATACAGGTTTGCTTGATCTGAAAATATCTCTAGTTCGCTTACATTTTTCAGGGATATTTTTACTTGATACAGAATTCTGGGTTGATAGAGGGGAAGAGGTGCGAGGGACTAAGAACTTTCAGGATGTTTTTCCACTCTTTTCTAATGACAAGTAGACCACAAATCAGATAGTTGTTTCCCTGTATTGCTTTTTTTCTTGATGCTTTCAAGATACACCCTTTAACTATGGCTTCAATAACCTGAATCTGATATGAGGAGACCTTCTATTTATCCGGGTTGGTACTCACTAACCAGCTCAAAGCTGTGAACTTGTCTTTCATCATATTTGTGAAAAATCCAGCCATTATTTCATAAAATATCTTACCTGCCTCATTCTTTCTCTCCTCTCCTGGAACTTCTGTCATACTATGTTGGATTATTTGATACAGAATAACAGGTTTCTGAGGCTCTGTTCACCTTAAAAGTTGTTTTTTCTCTGTTATTCAGATGGATAAGTTCTACTGATCTATCTTCAAGTTCACTGACTTTTTTTTAACCTCTGCCATCCTCATTCTGCTAAGATCACCTATAATTGTTCCATTTCAGAGACTGTATTGTATAGTTTTAGAACTTTCATTTCATTAAAAAATAATTTATATTTGCTTACATTCCCTATCTTTTCTTCCCTTATGAATATAGTTTCTTTTAAAAATATTTTCCAATTACAGTAGACATACAAATATATTAATTTCAGGTGTACAACATAGTGATCAGACATTTATATAACTTACAAAGTGATCACCCCAGTAAGTCTAATACCCATCTGAAATCATACGTAGTTATTACAATATTATTGAATATAGTCCCTTTACTATGCTGTACATTCGTGTGACATCTTAATCCCTTCCCCCTTTTCACTCATCCCCCCAAAGCTCTTCCCATTTGGCAGCCATCAGCCTGTTCGTATGAGTTTTGTTTGTTCAGATTCCATATAAGTGAAATCATATGGTATGTGCCTTTCTGTCTGACTTATTTTACTTAGCATGGATGGACTAGAGGGCGTTATGCTGTCACAAATGGTAAGATTTGGTACTTTTTTTATGGCTAAATATCCCATTGTGTATATGTACCACATCTTTATGCACTTGTCTATTGATGACTTGGGTTGCTTCCATATCTTGGCTGTTGTAAATAATGCTGCAGTGAGCATAGGGGTGCACATATCTTTTTGAATTAGTGTTTTGGATTTCTTCGGATACATACCCAGCAGTGGAATTGCTGGGTCATATGCTAAGTTCTGTTTTTAATTTTTTGAGAGAATGCTATACTGCTTTCCACAGTGGCTTCACCAATTTTCACAAACAGTGCATGAGGATTCCCGTTTCTCCACATTCTCGCCAACACTTGTTTGTTGATTTATTGACAGACATTCTGACAGGTGTGAGGTGATATCTCATTGTGGTTTTCACTTGCATATCCTGATGGTTAGTCATGTTGAGCATTTTTTTATGTGTCTATTCGCCATCTGTATTTCTTCTTTGGAGAAATGTCTATTTAGGTCCTCTGTCCATTTTTTAATTAGATTGTGTTTTTTTTGGTGTTAAGTTATATAAGGCCCTTATTGGATGTATTATTGGTGAATGTCTTTTCTCATTTAGTAGGATGTCTTTTCATTTTGTTGATGGTTTACTTTGCTGTGTAAACCTTTTAGTTTTTTTCTTTTGTTTCCCTTGTCTGAGGAGACATATCGAAATAAATATTACTAAGAGCAATGTCAGAAAGTTTACTGCCTATGGTTTCTTCTAGGAGGTTTATGGTTTCAGGTTTTACATTTAAGTCTTTAATCCACTTTGAGTTTATTTTTGCATATGGTATAAGAAAGTGGTCTAGGTTAGTTTTATTTCTGTCCAGTTTTCCCACTACCACTTATTGAAGAAAATGTCTTCACCCCATTGTATGTTCTTGCCTCCTTTGTCATAGATTGACCACGCAGGTGTGGGTTATTTCTGGGTTCTCTATTCTGGTCCATTGATCTGTGTGTCTATTTTTATGCCAGTACTATGCTCCCATCCCTGGAGAAAGCTGCCCCTCCAGCTCTCTCCCTGAAATTAGTTTCGTTCCTTCCTGTATATCCCTGGTGCTTTTTGAGCTGCTGCCCCAGCACAGGAGCTTGAAGTGAGTTTGTGAGCAAGTGAGTCAAAGGCATAATCTCCTTACAATATATAACATTTCCTAATGTCTCTTAGCACCAGTAGCCAAATTACATGGCCATGACCATCCCGTTTTACATATGATACTGGACATTCTAAATGACTTATCCTCACTCCCACCTCTCCAAGAAAGCAACCGCTCAAGTGTCAGAATGCAAATGAAAACCCAGATATTTTCCCCTCCAAATCCTGCCCATTTTCCATAACAACAATGGCCAATTTGTAGCAGCCAATTTTTCACCTCTTGTGTATATGTATTTATTTTCTTATAACTAGCTCTAACCATTTCAGTTTCAGGGTATTGGCTCTCTGCATATTTCCATAATCATCATCATCACCATAACAGCTACCATTTATTGAGTGATTGAAATTGCTAGACACAATACAAGATGGTTTAAAATACACTATCTAGTTTAATTCTCAACCCCGTGTAGAAGGTAATATTATGTATCTTAAAGACAGAGAGACAGAGATACCATTGGAACACTGACCACAAGCAGGCCTGACAAACTCAGGGACGGGAAGTAATCATACAGGACAGTTGATCACAATTCCGTCAGAGCAGGTAGTTACGTCCCAGCCTACAGCAAAGGTCAGTGAAATCTGTCCATTGTTTTTATGCTTCTAGGATAACATATCAGAGCAATTTTCTTTTCCTCCTTCTAAAGACACACCATTGGCAGCAGCATGAGACCATGGAACCCCTCATTGTTACCTTGTCCCCGCGTCCCCGCAGACCATCTCTAAGTGTGAATTAACTACCGTTTACCCACCAGCATAAAAGAGGTATGTGTTTCTCCATATGATTTCTCCCACCTCCTTAACCTACCAACAGTGGATTGCAGGTTGCTCTTTAATTTTCGTCTCTTGATTCTAATGTATAAAATAAACTGCAAAACTACTGTTCTTGTGGTGATGAATTTGTAAGTTATAAAAATATGTAATAAGTATGTTGCATACCTGAAAGTAATATAATAATGCATGTCAATGTGAATAAAAAATAAAATAAGCATTGCCCTTTCCAATCCATGGAGGTTTTCATACCTGGCATCATGTGTTCCTTGTGCAGGTAGGTCCTCTCCTTCTCCCTCCCACCTTCAGTAATCAACTACTATATGATCCCACTTAAATGTAGAATTTGAAAAAATCTAGAAACAGACTCATAGATATAGAGAACAAGCTGATGGTTGCCAATAGGGAAGGTTTGGGGAATGGAATTTAAAAAAATGTAGTTTCAATAAAAGAAGTTACAACAAAATAACTACTGTATATAGTCCATCCATTCAATAAACATTTAAAAGATTGAGTTATGAAGTAGTATGAGTCTAAATATGTTAAAAAAAATTCTACGGACATAAGAATGGATTTTACATAGCAGAATGTTAATAAAACGACTCTGGGGCTGGAATGGCTCAGTGGTTGAGCATTGACCTATGATGCAGGAGATCGAGGTTCGATTCCCAGTCAGGGCACATTCCCTGTGTTTTGGGCGATCCCCAGCAGGGGGTGTGCAGGAGGTGGCCAATCAATGACTCTCTTTCTGAAATCAATAAAAAAATATTTTTAAAAAAGACTCTGGGTGGTAGGACCACTGGTGATTTTTTTCTATTTTCTATTTTTCTGGGATTTCCAAAATTTCTGAATGAACACGCAAAGATTTTCAAGAGACTAGATGTGAGCAAAACATAAATGTTAAGTGAAACATCAGTAACAACTTTTCAGGAGCACAGAAATGAAAACTGGCATCAGATTGTTTTAAAACCTCAGACACATCAACATGTCTCTAAATCTATGAGAACTTAGGAGACATGGTCAGAGCTGAATTCAATTTTTTCCTCACTTTTCCATAACTATCAACTTGTCAAGTTCCCCTAAAGGAGGATCTCACATAGGGAAAAATGGAAAAAGAGGGACCTGAATAACAATCATATCTATCCTAACATGACCCATTCCTTGGCCCCAAAGAAAAAGTTAAAAGATAAACCCTAAATTTCCGAGTAACTGCAGGTTACACAGCCGCTGGAACCTGCTTGGAAGTCTTCATAGGAAAGGATAGTGTGATTTTAAATAGCATTTAAAATGCAAACAAGGCTCCGAGCCATGAACTTAGTATTTCTTTTCTTTTTTTTTTTTTTAAATATACTTTACTGATTTCAAAGAGAGGGGAAGAGAGAGAGAGATAGAAACCAATGAAGAGACAGTCACTGATCAGCTGCTTCCTGCACAACTCCCACTGGGGATCAAGCCCGCAACCTGGGCCTGTGCCCTGACCAGGGATTGAACCGCGATCTGGATCATGGGTTGATGCTCAACCACTGAGCCACGCCGGCCGGGTGATGAACTTAGTATTTCTTTTGAGGCGAGTCCTTCTTAGAAAAGGGATTCAATTTGAGGATTACAGACAAAATAGAAGCCACTGGCCTCACTTACCTCTGGAAGTGAAGGCTGGGCACTGCGTGTCTGCTTGATGGCCTCCTCGTAGCGGGGAGGGTCTTTCGTCTTGGGGACTGGGCTCCCAAACAGCGAGTGCTGGACAACAAACTGCTGGGGTGGAGGGGGCGAACTCGGCTGTGGCAAGCAGAGGAGGAAGTCAGCTCTGGGCAGTAAGCTTCCTTCCATGGCAGCCAAATCATGGACCTCCTAAGCCGGTGAGGCTGATAGCACAGGTGGGCCATCTTGTGTGGGGAGGGCCGTCTTCACTGTGATAACAGCTAAGCTGCCCCTCACCAATGTCACCCCAGTATTTTCTGAACACTGATCTTCAGTCATTCCAAGCCTAAAGCTCTGGGCTTTGGAATGGTCTGTACCCAGTCAGTGTGTCACGCTGCAGTCACCACAGGCTTACCTTGCTAGGAGGGCTCGGTCCGTTTTGCAGGGATGGAAGGGGTGCACTTCTGGGTTGGAGAACGCTGCTGGGTGTCTTGTTAACAAAGGGCTGCTGGGCCGTTGGAGCGGGTGGTCTCTGATGTGAAAGAACTGCACTGGATGCCGAGCTTGTGAAAACCTGTAATGAATAAATATTTCCCCATCAGTTTGTCCTTTTGCTCTTAGTACTAAAGGAAACCATGTTTTAAAACGGTCGGCACACTTTTTCTGCAAAGGGCCACGGAGTATATGGTTTAGGGTTTGCAGGTCCCTGCTGTCTCTGTGGTGACCGCTCCCCTCTGCTGCTGTGGCACAAAAGCAGCCTGGACAACGTGAAAATAAATGCGTGGGGCAGGGTTCCAACACAGCTTCACCCACAAACAGGAGGGGATGGATTTGGCCCTCAGGCATGGTCTGCCACCCCGTCAAGTGTCAGTGGCCCCTCCGCTCAGTGGCCCATCTTTGACGGCAGTGGGGACAGTGCTTTGTGGGAAAGCAGCACTTCCTAGGTGTGGTTTCCCTTGCGAATGAAGCTGAATTTTTTCTGTTCCTCACTAAGGTGATCGCATCTACTCTCCTTGCTTTACTGTTCACAGTGCATCTAATGATCCCCAAGCCAACCTCTCTCTTCTAGCCTTGTTTCCAAGTTTGTAAACCACATTTACAAACGTACATTTGGGACATTTCAAATGTAATATCTTCCAAACTAAACTTTTCCCTTTCTTCCCTTCACCCCCAGTCTCTGAGGGAAAGTAATTCCTGGTTTTGCCTTCATGTTCTTTTAAACTTCAGTAAATTTTAAACCAGTCTACTGTCTCCTCCCCTCAGAGCTCATACTCCTTAGAAATGGCTCTTGGATCAGGCCTCTGTTCTGTGCTGTCCTAATCCAGGTCCTCACTATCTAACACTGGATTCCTGCCAGAGCCACTTTGCTGTGCCCCCACCTATCAACCCTCCACCACAAGTACAGTCTTGGCACGCGCCTGACAGCTCCGCCACACTGACCAGCTTCTCTGTCTTGAGGGTAAAAGTTAACCTTTGGCTGGTGTGCAAACCTTCTTACTACCTGACTGGCCCTTTTCCATCCTACCCAAAAGGTTACACGTGCTGTGGACACACTCAGGTTTCCAGTTGCTTGAAAACCTCCAAATCCTGGCAAGGCCCTATTTAGAATCTGCCCCTTCTGAGAAGCGGTCTCTGCTCCGTCAGGCAGAGGTGAGATTTGTTCCTGTGGGACTACAAAGTTCTGTTTAGCCCCCAGTGAGAGCCAAAGGCTTCAGGACTTTTTACAAATGTATGGCCAGACTACTGATATTGTAATGGTATTTCACAGAACTGGTTTGCTCATAAAAATATTTAATATACTTTATGCCACTAACATCCCGAGAGAGAAAAACATATCCTGTGTTTTTATTATAAATATACATAAACATTTCTTAAACGTGCAAGTATGTGTGTGTGAGCGTTTATATTCCTCCAAACAGTATGTTGTCTCCGGGGTGATGAGTTCTATAAATATATCCCTCTTTTAAAAGGTTGAATACCCTAATATTTGGTAAAAAAAAAATTCTTCCTTTAAGTTGGAAATAATGATTCCTAATTCTAGTGTTTTGAGAGTCAGTGAATAAGTCCTTATTTATCCTGTCCAGATGTTTTTCTCTTTCCCCCTAAAACAGACAACTGTCTCAACATTTGAACATTCGCTAAGCTTATTACTGCACTAAAATGTTACTTTGAGCCCAAACTAAGTAATATGCAACTAGAACTTACGCATTTCTCATAGGAGAGTCCAAAAGAGAGCATGTGTGTTAATGTCTTTCTCACCTGAGAGGTGGTTTCTGTCTGTCCCTCAAGCTGTCTCAGCCCAGACAGCTTATGGAGCATATTCTACAGGTCCATCTAGTTATCCAGGTCCCTTTATGTAGAAGATGGAAACTCTGGGACAAAGACTAATTCTCAAGGTTTGTAACAGTAAGTCCTACTTTTGAGGCCTTAGGATTTTCCTGGCAAGGATATGTGCACACAGCTCCACCTACTGGATGGTGGGAATTCTGGTAACTTTTGGGATTATTTAACATCAGAACTTTTGGGTGGAACTCGTATAGAGGACACTGAGCCCTAGATCAATACCAGAATTTTAAAGATGAGGAAAGTGACACAAAGAGAAAGAGAACTGTGCACAAGGCCCACCACATAGGTGAACCAGAATGATAGCCAGACCCAGGCCTTCTGGTTCTCAGTCCGCGAGATGGCAAACTCAAAATAAAGAAGGATCTTACTCAAGAGACACATTTCAGGAAGCACCTTTTTCATTTTCAAATCTCTCTTCCCAGAGAACAGCACTTTTTTTGCCCTAAAATAAATGGTTAATTTAAGAGTTTAGACCCTGGAAAAATTCTATATATGAAGAATGAAAAAATACCTTTGAAACTTTTACTTAGAAGAGGAGTTTAACTGTTAACATGATCTATCTTTTAGCAATAAAGAACTCTTTCTCTTTCCCAAATAACTGGATAATCTGTAGCCAAATGGCATCTGACCTGAGCCTTCCGGGGTAGGAGATGGATTGTGGAAAGAACCAAGGGAGCTCCTGGAGGAGGCTCCTGTGAAGATGCCAAGTGGCCGAGCAGGTGAGGGACCAGTTAGCAATGCCTGTCACCCATTAGTGTTCACCAACCTTTCTGATTTGCTGTGGCTGACCGAGCACGTGCGGTGTGAACATGCCTGGTTGCTGAGATCCAGGCTGGGCCAAGCCCGAGGACAAGGTGGTAGTTGCTATCTGAGGCTGAGTCTGGACGCTTGCTTGTGGGGGAGTCTAGGAGGAAAAAAAAAATTTGTCACAGTCAAAGTCAGAATCAAGAGTCATTTGATTCTGGTCATTTGGGGATCATATCTGGAATAAGGTAAAATGTTCAGATACACACTTCAACTCATAGGCCTCTAAATTTGAGCCTTAACAATTCTAAACCATAGAGTTAAAAAGATCAGTTATTTTCATGCTCTTATTCCTTAAGTGATTAAGGTGTTCATTTAAAACTTTGTGGAAATAAGAACCTGTAGCAGCTCTACACTTAATAGGTCAGGTGTTACAATAATTTTACTAGCAGCGAGGAAATCTGTGATGCTAAGAGTCTAAATCCCTGCGTTTAAGCTGCAATGAGTCCACTCTCTGGGGACAGTCAGCCATGTGCCGGTACACACAAGCCCAGCATGAAATGCAGTTCTCCTAGGTCAACTCCCGTGGAAGATTTGGACAGAAAAAAAAGTTTAGAAAAGCTACATTAAAGAGAATTTCCATTTCACAGTCTAAAGATTAAACATGGGAATTAGGATTTTTGCAAATGCCAAAGGCCTGTGGGTCATGCCTCCTAGGCCAGGGTATACTCTGCTCAGGATGTCTGGGTAGTCAAGGCTGAGGAGCACTGCCTATGGCCCACATTGTGCTAAAACCTATGGAAGTCACGTTACATAAAAACAACTTAAAGTCAGTGCAAAGGTTATGGGGCATAAAGGAAATTCCACCAGTAGCAACTCAACATCTTTACTCCTAACCTCTGGTCACCTTTTCCTTAGTGTGTGCATCTTTGCATGTATAATGCCTTTCAGGGATGACATACAGGAGGCAGAACATAAGAGTGGATATGAGAGTAAGAGCTCTGGGGTCAGAAGGCCGAGGTTTAAACACTAGTTCTGTCCTCAGGCAACTTGCTAAGCCTTCAAGGGCCTCAGTTTCCTTATCTAGAAATGGGCTTCATCACCTGGGTCTTTCGGGAAGGGAGGGTTAAAGGAAGTGAGCCATGTAAAGTGCCTGATGCTGTAGCGTGTGCATAGAGTACTCGGTGATAGGAGCTATTATCATCATAATGTCAGGGGTGTAAAAGGTGCCCTGGCTCAGTGGCATTGGCTCGAGCACTGAAGGGTCACAGGTTCGATTCCCGGTAAAGGGCACGTACCTGGGTTACAGCCCCCCCCATTGGGGCTTGTGCGGGAGGCAACCAATCAATGTGTCTCTCACATCCCTCTCTCCCTCCCCTTCATCCCTTTTCTCCCTCCCACTCTCTCTAAAAATCAATGGGAAAAATACTCTGAGGTGAGGATTAACCAAAAAAAAAAAAGTAACAAATAGAAAAGCACCCCATTTTTTACTACATAAAAACAGTGCTGATGGCTCAAATTTTTAAATCCTCCCCTCCCCCCCCGCAACAGTTTTCTGCCACTGTGAAACCTGATTTGGATGCATTTATGAAAAAGCTCAGGTGTCTGTTACTAGCAGTGTCCATTCCAAGCAGGCTGCAAGGCAAAGTAGTTAGAAGACACACTTCACACCTGGAGTTTGAGGCTGCCTACAGGGAGCTGCACGGAGGTGACACTGGAGCCCTGGATAGATACGGGGAGCAGCAGCTGAGCAGTTTGCGTGGTCAGCAAAGCCTGCGGCTGAGCGACAACAGCAGGCGGTGGCTGTCCCTGGGAACTCACGTAAAACTGCGAGACAATGCTTGGCTGCTCTGCCTGGGCCACAGGGACCTCTTGCTTGATCACTACAGCCTTTTTGGCAACAAGCGTCTGGCCACCCGCAGAAAGAGGCTGGCCCACAGAGTGGCTGGCCCCTGGTACAGGCTGCCTGGGGCTGGAGCAGTCAGTGAGCGAGGTCTCATCTTTGATGGAGGATCCCCCGCTGCCCTGCTTCTGCTCTGCCTGACTGACAGAATTAGCTGGGGCGCTGGGCTGGGGGTCCAGTGGTCGCCGCTGCTGTTGCTGCTGCCCTCGTTTTTCCACCTCCAGTTGCATTTTCAGAACTTCCACGAGCTTCTGCTCTTGTTCCAGTTTCCTTTTCAGCTCTTCGATCTGCTTCTCTTTTTCCTGAAGCTTGCGATCCTTCTCAGCTGCATCCAGTTCCAGTGAGGACAGAGTGCTGCTGGTGGGACTTAGGCTGTCTTCGTTACTGGTCACTCTCAAAGGAGATGAGCACAAGAACTGGGACGGAGACATCATGGTCATGATCTCGGTGAAAGTGTCGGCCATGTTTGTGTCCTCGGTGCTGAGACTGGACTGTTCGGAGGGAGACGGCGAGATAGGCAGAGGTGAATTAACATTTTCCACGTGGGCCACATTGCTGGTTCCAGCAGATGGCAATTCTGGCTTGACAGTGGAGCCCGGGCTCGTCACACAGTTATGCAGTGTGGTGACTGGCACTGCCATGGTGACTTCTGGGTTACTGGTGACAACGGCAGATGTCGACACCGCTGTGATGCCATCAGCAGCACCACTGCTGTTCATTTCCTGGTAAGGTTTCAGGCGCTCGATAAGGTTCGGTTTGGTGCCCGACACTGGAAGACCCCTTAACTTCAGTTCTGTCTTCAGTTCTGATACCTGGAAGTACAAACAAATCAGCTCTCTTCATGTGGCATTATAGCTTTCTAACAAGTCTACAGGACACCTCTGTGACCAGGAAAAGTGCCTACATCTGCCAGACAACTCCATATTACTGCATAGCTGAAAGTGGGAGTTTTTCTTTTTAGCACACAGAAACACACACACTACAGACCTGAAGAAGTTGAAAGGCAGTAATAATAAAGCAAGGGTTTTTAGAGGGTAATTCCTCTGTTATATCAAAGAAAAGATTTACTACCAGAAAGGATACCAGCTACATTTACTGAGTAATTACTATGTGCCAGACACTGTTGGAAGTGCTTTATTCTTTCAGTTAATCTTAACATGAGGTGCAGGTATTATTATTCCCATTTTAAAGACGAGGAGATAGAGGCAGAGAGAGGTTGAATCGCTTTTCCCAAACTTGGTAATGAGCAGGGAAGAAAACAATCTGCCTCTGGAGTCAGAACAGGTATGGTGCCACAACACAGTATATGCTCAATAAATGAGAGTTATTACTGGTCATTGTAATAACATTATAAAGTAAACTTAATGGACGTAAAAGGAAAGTACCTCTATCAGAATTATCATATTGTTGGTAAAGTTGAATGTCTACTGAAAACCACCTGCTAGACAAATCTAACAAGTCATTTACACCTCCGTGTCACTGATGGGTGAATAGACTCTACTTGGAATGATTACCTTTAAGTCGTCCAAGCTGGAAGGCAGAGGCCCTGGTTTCCTCACAGGAATGGACGTGTTCTGTCTTGGTGTATTAGGTGTGGTACTGTTCAAAGCTGAATTCCCACTGTTGTTATTTTTGTCATTGAGTGGCCTTCAGAAGAAAAAGAAAATTAGTTTTTAATAAAATAATTTCTGCATCTGACATCGCATGTGCTAAAAATTTGACTATTAACTTAGGAGGAGAAAAATACCACGGTTATGATCTAGAAGACTCAATATGGTAAAGATGTCAATCAAATCAGGTCCCAATAAAAATCCCTGCAGCTTTTGCTTGCTTGCATGCTTTGTAGAGATTTAGAAAGTGACTCTAAGCTTTATATGGACATGGAAAGGACCAAGAATGGCCATGCCATCCCTGAAGCAGCAAAGCAAAGTTGGGAGAGCCATACCATCAGATACCAGCACTTATTACAAAGCCAGTGGTTCAGATGGTGTGGTGCTGGTGCAAGGACAGAACAGACATATAGAGAGACCACAGAATGAGAAACAGACCCCCACATACATTGGCCTTATCACAAAGGTGACACACCACTGCAGTCCCATCAGATAGTATTGGGCCACACTGGATATTCATACAGGAAAAAAACAGCACTCTTGATTGACCCCTACACCTCACATCATCCCCCAAAACCTAAATGTGAATTTTGAAAACAATAAAGCTTTTATGAGAAAACTAGTATAATATCTTCGTGACCTTTGGATAGGAAAGATTTCTTCAATAGGACACACAAAATACTAACGAAAAGGGACACCTTTAAAAGGGTGAAAAGTTAAGCCATTGGAGAAATACTTATGTTTTTCTTACAAAGACCTCATATCTACAATATACAAAGAATCTTGCAAATCAGTAAGATAAGACAGAAAACCCAATGGGAAAATCTTGAATAAGCACATCACAAGAAAGTATATCTAAATGGTCAATAAACATGTCAACAAGGCCTTAACCTCAACAGGTATGAGGAAAATGTAAATGAAAAGCACAAGAGAACAGCATGGCACGCCCAGACGGACACTGCTATACCAACACTGCTGATACCAACTACTCAGAACAGCCAGGACTCTCCCATACACAGCTGGCAGAACTGTGCACTGGTACAACCACACTGGAGAACTGTTTCATAGTATCTCCTAAACAAAACCCCACTCCTCTTCTCTGACTCAACAATTCTACTCCTACACAGACACCTGACAAAGACATGTATTTGTCAGGCAAAAGATGTAGGCTATCTATTATGGCATTTTTCATAATAGCTCCAATTGGAAGCCACCCAATTGTCCATCAAGAGTATGATGGGTGGGTAAATTGCAGAATACTAGACAGCAATAAAAATGAACTGCTATTTCCACCAATGAAGATGCATCTCACAAACATAATGTTGAGCAAAAGCAGCCAAACATACGTGTACTATAGGGTTGCACTTATACAATGTTCAAAACAGGCAACAGTAATCTATGGGCTAGAAGTCAGGATAGTCACCGAAAGAGGGACTGATAATGTTCTATTTCTTCCTTTCTTTTTAAATTTTGATTTACTGATCTTAGAGATGGAGAGGGAGTGAGGGAGAAGGAAACAATGACTTGCTGTTCCACCCACCTATGCATTCATTAGTTGATTCTTGTATATGCCTTGACTGGGATCGAACCCACAACCTTGGCGTATTGGGATGATGCCCCAACCAACCGAGCCAGGGCTAGTGATAATGTTCCATTTCTTGATTTAGGTGGTTACAGGGGGATGCTTACTTTGGTGTCAATTTTCACTTATGATTTACGGAATTCTCTGTAAGTTATACTTCATTTTAAAAAACTTTATTTAAAAATGTTGGTTAATCAGTTGTCAAGTTCCAAAATTAGGTGCTTTTGAACTCATTTCCTTAAATGCCTGTCCACATCAAACCAAGGTCCCCTAACTTCTTTCAACTGTGATATTCCTGCCAACAATGGCATTTCCTTTTCTGGTGGCTGACACCTATTAAAGAGGGGTGACATGGTGGCTGACATTGTACAGTCAACTCCACTGCAGCCCAAGGCTTTACTATCATAGAAGCCCTGGTACTGACGCCAACGAGACTCTGAATTCCACCTTCTGAAATGGGTCTGAGGTGACGTGGTGTATGGGGCGAGGCCCACAGTTGGATGAGCTTTCTCAAGGGAGTTTTAGGAAGCCTGTGCTTGAAGCCAGTTCTGGCCTTGTCAACAGCTAACTCTTTACGTTCGAGTCTTTTCAAATTTTGTCGAAGTATTTGAAGTATTGATGAAATGACAAATATTTCTGTTATTCTCCTTTCTAAAAATTCAACTCTTAAATCTTATTTTTGAATTATGAAAACATTTTATTCAAATCAGTTTCTCAATCTTATATTTAATATTGTTTCCACAAGGAGCCTTTTTAGAAACTTTTTTCCTAATTGCTCTCCCTGTGAAGTTTTAATTCCATAGATATACTGCATATTTATGTATTTTATCTATGTGCTGTATTAAATAAAAAGTGTAAGATTCCCCTCAACCAACTTGTGCGCCCTTGTGAATGAGATCGTCTCCTTGAGAATGCATAATTTCAATGAATTATTCCATTCATGCTCTTTTTGGTTGAGATCCTACAATACTCTTGGTTACTATGATGAGTTCAGTGTTTAATTCAACCTTTAAAATAACAGAAATAAATTATCTATTTTTTCCCCAAAACAGGAGGAAAAAAGTGGGGTTTGGAGGGCTGACGGATGTGATCACTGTGTTGGTGAGAAACCTGAAGTTGAGAGAGATGATGTGACCTTCTAGGACCTTTCAGCCAGTGTGTGGCCACACCGGGACTATAGCCCTGTGTCTTCAGGCTCTTGGTCCTTCCATGGTACCAAAGGTGCGTCATCAAGAAAATTCCACTACTGTGGGCGCTACAGGACTTCAATAGTTTCTTGTAATGGAGTTTTGGTAAAAATAAAGTGTGTTAAAAGCACCTCTACTTTTAGGACCTGGAAGTTAAGCAGAACTGGTGTTCCGTCTTTGTGTGGTGAAATAATACTCAAAAATGAGTGGTCCTTCCTCCTCCTGGTCCCTGGATCTTTTTGTGTGATATTTTCCGTGGGCAGGTTGGCTTGGTCACTTCAGCAGTGGGAATGTTTGAGGACGGGGAAACTGAAGTCTTGATGGAAAGAGTTCAGAAACCCCACTCCTCAGATGTATTCTTTCCATCTACAAAGCCGGCCCCATGCAGCCAGTTTCTTTCATTTCAGGAAAGGCTTTCATAGAGCAAAAAAAGTCCTTTTATGGGGTTTCAGTTGAACAGTTTCCTCATCTGGGAGTGGGGTCACTAATATCAATCCTCATAGACTAACTGTGTGGATGATGATGATGTAAGTGCTGAGCACACTTCTTGGGGTATCGGAAGCACACACATGTGAGCTATCGCTGCTGTTCTTGTCACGGTGCCCAAGGCTGGTGGTGGCAGTGGGGATGCCTCCCTCGGACCTGGACAAAGCTGCAAAGCAGTGCAGTTTGTCTCTGATGCTCTTTCAGCTCTCTTGGCCTTCCTGGTCCCCTGCCAACGTCGACAGCTGTCTGAAGCCTGCTTGCTCTTAAAATAACACGCTACCAGATTCTTCCCTCCTTCATCTCTGTGCCCTGATGTTGCAGATTTAAGTGCTTCACAGTAAGGGCTGAATGACTAATTGGTCTAACCTTCCTTGACATATTTGGTTCTTGAAAGAAAACAGTGAACTGATAATCATTAGCATATGAGGAGATCTTTCTTACACAGAAGCTTCTTAGAGGGTCTTAACTGTTTTCTCCTCCTAGAAAACAGGGGCTCCCCATGGAGGAATGTTTAACATGCATGCAGAAAACAAGTACAGTGTCTACGGACCATGTGATTATACATCGAGGGGTTTGATCACAGAGAATGATTTTTCCTTGTATGAGATTTGATCATTTCTAGATTTTCTTTTCTCAAGGTAATGTAAATATCCCTTTCTCCTAAAAAGTGAACAAAATGAAGAACAGGGGCTTTGCATCTTTACCTGTTTCCCAGAAAAAACACATTGAGGATGTATAACTAGAAGTTTTCTTTTATTACATAATTAAAATAACCTATGGATGCCTTGCTATGGATTCAATTGCAGAAACTATCAGAACTCACCCCCACTCTCCCTCCCAATTGGGCTCAAACTTTGGAAACATATTTCTTCTCCACAGTTGTTGGTCACAAAGGCCTTTTATTCACCGTCTTTTGGAACATCTAGCCTGTTTCTTCCTTTCTACTATCAGTGCCCTTTCATCTTCTTGCATCTACTTTACTGCAAAATTTCTAACTTGTTTTCCGATTTCCAGACTCCCCTTCAGTTCTGGGGTCAAACGATTCTATCCTGCGAGATTAGATAGTCGGCCCAACTTCAGATTCCTCCGGACATTGGCTCTACTCAACTCTGTCCTCCAGTTTTCTTAAAAACTAATCATATTCATTACTCACCAGGCCACAATTAAACAGGCATTGCACTCCGTACCTCCACTCGCATCATTCCTGTGCTTGGAGGGCCCTTCCTAAGTTTCAGGTTCTTTCCCACAAACATATCTTGCCCTTTTCATAAAACTTCCTTTGACCACTGCAGGCTTTATGGTCACCTTTTTTTTTTCTAAAACTGTTTATACCATGTCTTATACTTCTTATACTTTTCTCACAGCACTTAATACTCGGCAAATCTTTCTTGGATGAGTAATTGTGAAAAGTCACTTCTAACTTGAAAATTCAGAACCAACTTTGGGGACAAAAACCAAACAGCATGAAGGCTACTCTCACTATGTTCACTTTAGACACTGTCGAGAAGCTTTGATGGCAACAAAATGAAAATGGTCATTAAGCACAAATAAATCACAACATCCAACCTTCAGAAACTAATGGGTCCTCATAAAAAACCCACAGTGAAATCCACTTTAGCCCCCAGCCCGTACTTGAGTGGTGCAGGCAGGATGGTCTGGTAGTTGTAGTGCTGCTGCTGTTGGCTCAGGATCTGTAGCTGCAGGAACAGCTGCTGCTGCTGGAGCAGGCGGGCGTAGTTGGAGTCCAGCTGCGGCTCGCTCTTCTCACCTTTCTGGTCTGGTGGAATGTACTGGTGGTACTTCAACTTCTTTACCCGTGGTTTGGGGTCTTTGCATTTTTTGCTACGGTGCTTGTCATTCGGATTCTTGGGATGGCTTTGCTATTTGTGAGAAAAAGGGAATAAGAACATTTTAAGAGACACCACTGTGTACAATCTATTTTCCTGTGCCCCAGTGATTTGAAATGAAAAAGCATCACAGCTCTGGAACTAGTAGAGCCACTTTGGAAAGCAATGTACTAGATACTTAGTCCCTTGACCAAGAAATCCTGCTCCTAAGAACTCATTTCTCCTGCTGCCTTGTTCCCTCAGACTACGGGCAAGATGCTCAACTTAGCATCATCCATTCAAATTCAACAACATTCACTCTGAGTCTTCTGTGTAGACACACTGCCAAGTGCTTACATATATTATCTCCTAGTGAAAAACAGTTCATACATTAAATATACAAATATAGAAAAAAGATTAAGTATATAATTCACTAGAACTATGTAATATTTTAAAGTAAAAAATTAATGGAGACTATGCAAAAACAGAAAAATGCTTATAATGAGAATAAAGCAGAATAAAAGGCTACGTATTTCTATGAAAAGTATACACACAAAAAATACTGAGCAATGTGAATATGAGTTAAAAAATTTTTTTTCAAAAATATATTTTTATTTTGAAAATGGGGTGTGAGACTCATTCTTATGATTAAGACTCAGATGACTCTTTCCTGAGGTTCTTTCTCTTCCATTTATAAGTTATCAGATCACTTTCTACTTTTTTAGTGTTCATATTATAACTTCATCTGAAAATATATATCCATAAAACAAGGTATAAAAAATTAATTCCTAAGCTTCTTTAGGTAAATACTCAATAAGAAGGCCTTGAGAAGTAATACATTAAATATAGTTATTGGTGTGCTCGTTATATATGTTCATATTCAAAGAATTAGGAAATTTAAAAAAAATAATAAAATAAAAATCACCATATTCTACAGACCAGAAATCATCACTATTAATACTTATTTTTTACCTGCAGATATCCACATGGCAACTCCCTCACCTCCCTTAGATCTCTGCCCAAGCACACTATTTGAAATAGAAACGTCTCCCTTTGTTTGCCTAGCAGCCCAGTCCTCACTTTATCTTCATGGCCGGCCCCTCTGTTTTGCTCTGTTTACTTCCCACTTCTAATCCAGGTGGGGTGCTCTGTGATGTTTCCTTCACTGCTTTACTGATGCTCGTTGCCTGGCACATAGAAGGTGCGAGATAGTAGCTCCTGAATAAGTTAATGATGAATGTGTATGCAATTAGAAGTCACTTGAATGATCAGGGACTTAAAACACATGACACTGTCAGAAAATATCCTTGCCTGCTAAAAATCCTCCTGTAATCTCACAATATTAATTCACTGTCATCTGCTTCTGTTGTTATCAATAATATATTTTATTTCTAGTCTTTTCAAATAGCTTAACAATGAATGGGGTCTGGGTTCCAGAGGTGTGGCTCTAACTGTTATGTAATGGTAAAACACTGACCCGGCTGCAATCAGGAAAGGACCTGCTGACAGGGGAGGGCCCACAAACACAAGAACCAGTGTTCCGCAGACCAAATCTGCTATTACCTATTAGCTGGCACAAGTCTATTCTCTCAGGAAGTAAGGATGGGAAACAGCTTTCCTCATAGAAAAAGTCAAACAATTGTGTGGTCTGTTTCCTAATACATACCGTCCTTTCTTCCACTGGCAGAGTCCTAGGGCTCCCTCCCCAACCTCTGAATCTCACATTCTTAAACAAAGCCTCCTGCCCTAGAACCAAGGCCCTCTTTAAAGACAGACACCAGCGAAGGGCAGAACTTCGAAGATTAGGAGAGGCAGAGAACAAATTTTCAGTATCTGCAAGGAGATGGTTGGCATACAAACGCTTTGTGCCATTAGTGGTACAGGCCTGGGGATGTGGGAAGTGGAGGTAAGAGCTGATTTTATTGAAATAGTTGCCACGTGGCACTCTCTGGAACTTCTGGCTTCAATACTAAACAAAGAAAGAAGGTGAAATATGCTGCCAGATGCCCTTGAAGCCACACAGACTCGGCCACACTGACAAAGAGAGCCAGGAGTAGAAAGAGAGCCTTCTGTCTAGGAAAGTCAAGGACAAGGACAGGCAAAGAAGGGGACAGACAGAGAGGAGGACTATGCACAGGCCAGCTGCCTCAGAAGAGGCCTGCAATGGGCTAAGAAGGCAGAGGGAAGGTGGGCCTGGGCCTCTGGAGGCTGCAACCCGCCTGGCCACTTCTTCACTTCTCTGGGTCTCAGTCTCCTCATCTGAAAGGTGGTGAGAGGCTTAGCTAGCTTTCTAATGTCCTTTTTTAGTTTGAGACCTGTGTTCTGCTTGTTTTGGCAAAAGCCACATCTGAAATGATTACACTATCCTGCAGGTTACTTCCCCCCCCTTTATTTAGCAGTTCTAAGTACACTTCAAAAAACTTCAAAAATGTATTATATATTATAAATTTTAATCTTCTTTGGGACTTATTCTAACTGAATTGTTTTGACCAAGTAAAATGTAGGGAATAGTGCCACAAATCTGCAGCTTATCTGAAGAACAAACCAAGCTTCATCGAGCCAAATCTACTAAATCAAAAAAATGTATTTGCTTCTATAAAACCTTTAACCTGTCATGTAATATATCTGGATACCACTGAGTTCAACCTTGTGTAGAAAGTTCAAAATCATGTTACCATTAAAGACATCTGTTTGTGAGGTTCAGGACTCAAGTGCTGTGTGAAAGCACCTCCATCTACCTATTTCCCCTGGTTCCGCCTTCAGGGCCTGGATGGGGGCAGAACTGGGGAATGCTGATAGAACCTTTCTCACTGCTCCAGGAGTTTTATACACACTATATTTTGTGCTGTTCTGTGACTGCAGAACAAGAGGTCATGTGCTGAAGGTGATAGTTTCGGCCTGGTCTAGCAAGTCTTCCCATGGTTTTGTTTTCAAGGCTTCAGGCTAAAAGGCAGGCTGGGCAACGTGGACACATGCCTTTGTCTTCTATGTGTGCGTCTACAGACAAGTCATAAGTAAAAACATTCAAACCAGTGTGTATGCGGGGTACCCACCTTTACCAGTGCAGGCCCAGGCTTTGCTGAGGACACAGTGTTTGTGGGGAGCACAGGAGCTGTGGACCTTGTGGGGGGCTGATCTGTAGTAGTGGGAGTTTTCAAGAATTCAGGAACTGCTGGGGACACTGTAGTAAACTGGTGGAAAAGGCAGAAAGGGAACAAGTCTGTGAAATCAGTGACAGTAAAAATAGAAAAACCAGAATTATAAGGGAGTGACTTCATTTCTTAAAAAAGCCTACTAGAAAAGAAACAAAAGGAAAGTATACTATTATGTCTGAGACCCAGATGGAAGAATAACATGCGTTACCTCCGTGAAGCCAATTATTTAGTCTTTGCCCCAATAGTATCCAAAAGCTAATGCTAAAAAGGGTTAGATTGACTAAACTGTAGTGTTTTTTCAGGAATATGGTCAGAACCGCCCTTTTTGGCAGGAAAAAAGTACAAGACTCTTGTAAAAATTATCAAAACAATACATGGTATTCATAAGGTTTTCTTGCCATACAGGTCACACTAATCCGGGCTAATTCAAATGTCATCTTTAGTCTTTGTTACAGGGCCTAATGAACCCCACCGCCATACCCAGGTCAGTCAGGAGGCACCACGAGAAGGCTCCCGCTCCCTGCAGGCCACCCCACCCACGTGTTCCTAAATGTGCCTCAGCTTATGTGCCTACCTCTAAACCCAGCTGGTACTCATTAACCCCCATGTCTTGCAAAGAACAAAATATGAAGACTATATTCTGGTAAGAATGACCTGTTTCACTGACAGTACCCTCACACTTAATGCAAGAAGCTAATCTGTTACCTGGGCAATTATCCAATCTCAATCTGGAAACATATTAACAAGAAACTGCAGAAGGCTTGGTTAGGTTTTTTATCAACCACCTAACAGCCTACTCCCATTAGCAATCTACTTTAAAGTATTCAATTTACTGGAAAGAGATATTACTGTTACAAAAGGAAGCTGTATGTTGCCTATTGATTACCACTTGGACTTACTATTACCAGCCTAATCTTAAGGAAAAATGTCTTTATCACTCACAGTTCTCTGAACAACTCTCAAATTCATTACAACAATCAAATTCAGTTCTCTTGTTGAAGTATTTGGGTTTAAAAATAGCAAACTATATTTTCCCTCCTTAAAATAAATGACCTGAAAAGTCAGAGGGCTAATAGTCGCAAGAATTATGAAGCTTGGTGCATACTAGATACTCAATAAATATTTGTTTAATGGGTGAATGGAAATTCCTTGTGGCTTTACTCATGCTAGGTCACACTCTCAAGCCTGCTGGGACTGTATGTGTGTAAGTGTGCAATTAATTGTGTGTGCCCATGTCAGCTCTCTCTAAGGTTTTATTTCACCATTGACTTTAGCTTTTAAGTAATTATCAGTAATCGTAAGTGCTGACAATATAAAAGACTTGCCTTTTTAAAAATGGCTCTACTCAATTTCATTTTCAAACAGAAATGAAGAACTTATGTAAAGTTCTGACACGTATGTTCCAGGCTGACTTTTGCCCCTAAATGGCCTGAGACAGCCAGCTCCTCAGTGAACCTCTGACATGATGTGAAAGATGACAGCCAGCTGATCACTGCCTAAAGTACAGGGTTTTATGTTATTTGTTTTCCTTTCACTTTGCACATTTTTGGGAAATGATACTTATCTCTGGGTCAGTTTTCACACAGGGGAAAAACATTCCTTGGCTATTAAATAATTGGCAATTCAGATATTTGAATTTTAAAATATATATTTCCTTGCAGATAAATTCTACTAGCCTAGCAGCTATTTTACCAGTCCAGACCTCACTGGCTGATTTGACAGCCAATGATGCAATTGAGAGCAGTCAGTGTTAATAATCTGAAAAATAATCTAGGAACATGAATGTGGTATTAACCGTAATATCTATGAGAATGTTTTGCCTATATTTTGAGACCCTGCCTAACTGACTTCAGCCCTGAGTACTAGGATTCCCATCTTCTTAGCTCTTCTGGTACTTCAGTGTGACTTTGCAGCCCAGAAACCTCAGACTCCAGCATAACACAAGAATAACTACTGAGATACCAGTGATTAACTTTACCTAACCTGAAAACAAATTCTGGTCAAAAAGGGAGAAATATCTAAACTTTGCTTTACATTTTGCCAGTCTTTTTCATGTGCCTTAGAAAGGACACTCCAAAAAACCTTGGATCATATCTAGATGTTCGGATCCTAGTGGCTAGAGTTACCAAAAAGTAAAAATAAAATTCTAGATATTAATGCTTCTGAAATGACAGTATTCCAAAAAGGATTGAGAATATCCAAGCAATAAAAAAATACTACACTTACTTTGTTTCACAGTAGGTTGAGCAGTATGTTAAAATCTTAAAAGAATGCTTTAAATATGTTTAAATTGCCACTGAGACCTAAGCTCACCTTATGTATTATCAAAATTCAATCTCAAAATGATTCAGAATCTTTTCTCCAAAGAAACAAAAAAGCTGCCAACTTTGCTTTGTTTTCCTGGATCTGATCATTGTTCCTGACACAAGTAACAGGTCTCATGACCACCAGAGTTCTTTGTTATCATAACGTCGTGAAAGGAAATGTCAGGAAACACTGTTGTTTAACAGTGGATATTTCTGCGTTAAATAAAATTCAAAGGAAAGCACTTCTGATCTTAAAGATGGACTTCTCTCTTATTAGAAACTGCTATGGAAAAGTACTGATACTAAAGAAAAAAACAAGTCAGAGCAAATGTTTAAGCTGACTAAAGTTTCATAACACTGAAGGCATCTGCACTGGTTCCTTTTGAAAAGATGATATACTTGCCAAGGACCAATCACTGTTCTCTGGTAAATTCCTTTTTTATTAGAGTTTCTTTACGCAATTTAACAGGACAGATATAATTTTTTTTGTACTGTTGATTTAAAATCTATAATAAATGTGTTTTTAATTTAGAATGCAGCAGAGATCTTAATTATGATGGTAATATGCAAATAAATTCAAAATGCAACTATTTTAAAACTACTGTTTCTATATTCTAATCCCCAGACAAAAAAATGAACACTAGTCAATTAATGAGTTGAATATAAATAAAAAATGTGCTTTGTATATTTAATAGATGGATTGACATTTTATGTTTATGTTTAAACATTTCATCTGTAGAAGAAGTAGTTGAACATTAAAAGTGAATTAACCTATTAGCACAACATCTAGTGAACAGTTAGTTGTTACTTGATTTCCTAGTTAGTAGTGAGGATCTGCAAGTATCCCTCCCATTAAAAAATATTTTTAAAATAAACTGTGGTAAAATATACATAACATAAAAATTTCCATTTAAACCATTTAAAATGGATAGTTCTACGGACTTAAGTACATCTACACTGTTCTACAGCCATCATCACCACCTATCTCCAGAACTTTTACTGAAACTCTGTACCCATCAAACAACTCCCCAGGCTCCCCTTTCCCCAGCTCCTGGCAACTGCCATTTACTTTATGTCCGTATGAATTTGACTATTCTTGATACCTCACACTGTGGAATCATATGACGTGTTTCATCCTGTGGCTGGCTTATTGCACAATGTCCTCAACGATCCTCCATGTTGCAGCGTGTATCAGGCATTCCTGAAAGTGTTCGCACCATTTCACAATCCTTCCAACAGTGCACAACATTCTAGTTTATCCATGTCCTTGTTGACGCTTGTTCATTTATGTCCTTTTGGTAGCTGCCATTTTAATGGTGTGAGATGAAGTACTATCTCATTGTGGTTTTCATTTGCATTTTTTTTAGTGATTAGTGATATTCAGCATCTTTTCCTGTGCTTATTGGCCATACGTTTATCTTCTCTAGATAAATGTCTATTCCAGTCCCTTTTTAAATCATGTTTTGTTGTTGAGCTGTGGGAGTACTTTATATAGGCTGTCCCAAGAAAGTGTATACGCACTTTAACAGCTGATAGCTCAATTTTGAAAATGAAATGTATTTTAATAAATACTGCCTTTATAATTATTCAAAGTGTGTATACATATTTTTGGGGCACCCTATATATTCTGAATATTAACCCCTTATCAGATATATGATTTGCAAATATTTTCTCCATTTTGTGGGTTGCTTTTCACTCTGTTGATATTGTCTTTTGATGCACAGAGGTTTTTAATTTTGATGGAGCCTGGTTATCTATTTATTTGTTGCCTTGGTGTCATATCCAATAACTCACTGCCAAATTCAGTGTCATGAAGCTTTACCCTATGTTTTCTTCTGAGGGTTTTATAGTTTTAGCTCTGATGTTTACGTCTTTGTCCATTTTGAGTTAAACTTCACATATGGTGTTAGGTAAGGGTTCAACTTCACTCTTTTGCATGTGGATATCTAGTTTTCTCAACACCATTTGTTGAAAAGATTGTCTTTACCCACTGAGTGATCTTGGCACCCTTATAAAAAATCATTCGACCATATACATAAGGATTTATTTATGGGCTGTGTATTCTATTCCATGGGTCTATATGTCTGTCTTTATGCTATAATCACACTGTTTGATTACTGTAGCTCTGTAGTAAGTTTTGAAATCAGGAAGTGTGAGACATTCAACTTTGTTCAAGATTGTTTTGGCCATCAGGGGTCCCCTGAGGTTCCATATGATTTTAGGATAAATTTTCCTACTGCAAAAAATTGTCATTAGACTTTTGATAATCTCTGAATCTGCAGATTGCTTTGGGAAGTACTGACATCTTGACAATACTAAGCCATCTAATCCATGAACATGGGATACTTTCCATTTATGTGTTTGATTGATTTTTTGTAGTTTCTCTTTTCTCATTTCCTTTGTGGTTACCATGGGGATTACATATAACACCCTAAAGCTGTGACATTTATCTTATATTGATACCAACTTCAGTTACATAAGAAAACTTTACAGCTACATCCCCCCTTTATATTACTGATTCACAAATTACATCATTATATATTGTGCAGCCATTGACATAAACTTAAAATAATTTTGTGCATTTGCTGCTTAAATCATGTAAAAAAAAAGTGGAGTTACAAAAAAAAAAAATTATACCCCAGGAGTCTGTGGGGCTACAGTCCCCCTGTAGTTTCACATGCCATGGCTTCTAGTGCTTGAGATCCAAACCATGCACTTTTCCCTGAGTTCTGAGTCAGACAAGACAGAAACCAGTCTCTCAGGCAGCCCACAGACAGACCAGATTGTTGCAAACAAGTTGTGCTCTGCTCCTTTCATCCTGAAGGAGGGAACCGGGTATTGGGCCACTTCTTTCTGACTATGCCATGTTGGGGAGGGGGTGGGCAAGGGTGAGTAAAGACCATGACATTTTCTACCTTCTTGAATGTGGCTTTTTCTTGATTGGATATTGTTTGGTTGGTATAGATTGCTGCCTGGTTTCCAGAGCTCTTCTGAAGTCTTTTTAGTCAGTCTGTAGTTTATTATGCTTCTGTGGGAGAATGAGAGCCTGGACCTTTCTATTCTGCCATATTGTATATAGTGAGATTTACTATCACTTGTGAGACAATGGTAAGCATGCAAATATGTGCACAAAAATACAAAACGTGAGTTTTCATTTAGTACCTGTTTTTTTAATGGTTTGATTATAACCAATACTACAACAACTAAAATAATGCCACAAAACAGAAGGGTGACTAGTCAGAGTACCACCAACCTACTCTAACCATTAATGAATGTATTACTTTTGGTGGTAACTTCACAGAAGGATTAACATAAAAATTTCATTAATACTTTAGATCAACTGTGAAAACCCCAAAGCTAGCCAATGTCCATCTTATTTAAATATAGTCCTCTTTTTAAAGTTGTCACACATATTACCTATTATATTCTCCAGAATCATGCAGAATGTCTATTACAACTGTGGTGTGATCCTGTTGGTAATTCACAAGTTAGTGAAAGTGGCCATTAGGGGTCAGAATGCGGAAGCATAATAAATACTAGAATTACTATTATTCAATTTTTTGGTAACTGAGTTATAATACCTGAGTGGACTACATAGCTGAGGAAACAATGTTATGCATGCATTTCCTGAGTAATACAAGTAACAGTTGTCACTATGAGTCATAACAGGATGACACAGGGTGATGTGCTGCAAAATGGTCTAAAGAAAAATCTCAAACTGTTGGCCTAACAAGAACCAGATCATTAGTTCAAACCCTGTGTGGGCCTGACAGATGCTCTCTTTTCATGACATCTGCCCCAGGTAGCTCAGTGCCTGGTTCAAGTAAGTGCTTGGCACATGTTGGCCATTATTTTTTATCATCAACTCAATTATATTCAAAACACATTTATTTACAAATAATCGAAAAGGTCTGTTCTGATTAATGCCCTTTTTTAAGGTACTTTCCTATTGGTCATAGGAGAATTAAGAATTGGGATGGAATACAACTTCACAGTTAATGCTGGAAGCTAACTCAAAATCTAAGTATTAAGAGTGGCAGAGTCCTCTTACGGCAGAAATTAAACAAAGCATAACTGAAAGGGTAACAAATAGAAATTACAGTCAATATCTTTGCTATTCTATTCAGGCCTGTATTGGTAAGTATTTGTAATACAAGTTAGAGTAAAGCTGATTATTTAATGCATGTGTGCATGGCTTACCTATTAGAGCTTACGTTCTCTCTGTTAAATTAAAACTAAGGTTTCTATATTATTTGGCAAAAGGTGATCTACCTGAAAGTTATTGGTACAATGAAGAAAAATAGATAATAGATAGTGTACTGAATTTTCCTAAGGTTGTCTTTCTGAGAATACAGAGTAACTGGCCAGCAAGGTTCCTTTCAGCACTGCTTTGAATTCAGCATGGGCTTTGTCCTTATAGCACAGGCTTGAAAATGAACACATCTTGTCAGGCCACACTTATAGTTAACATCTGTGTTTATAATAATTAATTAAATGACTTAAGAAATTGTTGAGAGAAAAGAAGACTTGAGAGGAAAAGAAGCAGTATAACAGCTCCTGGTACCCACATGTGGCTGGCTGTCCTTAATTTTCTACAGCTTTTCATTGTTCAAGAGCTGCTCAAGCACAAAAGAAACTGAGCTCCAATACGTGATGTGTGTTCCATTTATATTTCGGTAAATTCCTTTCCAGCTGTACTTTAATCAGAATTGAAAAGACAAAAGTCCAAGGGAAAGCAGTTTTAGTCTTTTACAGACCACACAGAAATACATATTAAAGAAGAATCCTTTTCACTGTAACAATCTACATTTTAAACGAAAAACATGGTGGTGTACTGTACTGTCCACACTGCAGGGTCATTAGCATTTCAGCACTGGGATTTCAAGAAAAGTGCTTGGAAAATCTGTTCTTTACTTAGATATTATGTGTTAAAATTTTTTTGGTAAGGAATGCTTCTTTTATTTGAATACTTTACTGTAGGACTTAATCCTCTGGCACCTCTGTTCTGAAAAGAATTAAGGCGACTACATGTCAATAGACATTTTGAAATAAAGCAAAGCCTTAAGAAATCTTGAGCTTAATTTTCTCTCAAATAATTATCTGTAAATATAACTTTTTTAAAATAAAATTTTTAATGTATTTTTGTTTTGTTAATCCTCAGTGGATATTTTTTCCATTGATTTTTTTAAGAGAGAGGGGAGGGGAGGGAGAGAGGGGGTAAAGAAAGAGGGAGAAAGAGGGAAAGAGAGGGAGAGAGAGAAAGTAACATCCATGTGACGGAGACACATTGATTGGTTGCCTCCTGCATGTGCCTTGACAGGGGCTGGGGATCGAACCTGCAACCCAGGTATGTGCCCTTGACCGGCAGTCGAACCTGTGACCCTGCAGTGCTTGGACCTATGCTCTAACCACTGAGCCCACTGGCCAGGGCACATTTTAAAAATGTTTTTATTGATTTTTTTTTTTTTAGAGATAGAGAGAGGAAGGGAGAGAGGGACAGATAAAGAGCAGACTGTTAATGGTTTGTACATAGCTGGCAGAACTGGTGCCACGGTAACACTGAAGGGTGTTATAAAAACTGTTTAAGTTCAGGAATGACCCAAGGCTTACTGTGTTGCACTGGCAATAAATAGAGCATATTTATTCTTCAAGAAACACTGCTATTCCTTTTTTCCTTCAAGGAATTCTGGAATGTCAGCCCACTGGGTGGAACTGTCTCTGGTTAAAGTTTCTGACTTACAAACTTAGCGGGAGACCAAGTTTCAGGAGCAAAGTAAAAAACCTAATAGTATAAGCATGCTGAGAAAAGGAGAATGCCAATCTCCTACACAGGAGGACCTGTCCTGAAGCCACTACCAGGTAGGCCGCTGAGCCAACAAAAATTCTGTTACTAAAAGCTAAGGCCATGCTATTGTCTGATATCCTGACCTACTCAGAAGCAGAAAACAACCCTAATGGATAAGTAGAACTGTTTTTTATGTTCTTTACTTGCATACTTGACATTCTTTTTAGCCCTATTTTTAAAGCTCAAAACCAGGGTGCAGCAAATACGTGGGAATACAGTAGGGTCTGGTTTCCCCTTGCTCTCCCTCTCTGCCTGCTTAGACCTAGGACCGTGGGCTGGTCCTGACCCTCGTTCTTCTAGGCCAGGTTCCAGCAACGCTGAGGGGTTAGTCACTCTTGCCCTGTAAACTCTGACAGGAGCATAGGAGCTGTAGCTACCCACACTACCTTTGACGAATCCAAGCTGGAGAGGCTCTGCTCCCAAAGGAAGAACACAAACATCACTTCTACAAGCTGATGTCAGTTAGCTTCATGGTGCTGAATTCAGTTCAGTGTTTACTGAGCACTTTTCCTGAACCAGGCCCTGTGCTAGATATTGAAGATAGAAACACACACACACACACACACACACACACACTCTCTCTCTCTCTCTCTCTCTCTCTCTCTCGGCTCTTGTCTNTCTCTCTCTCTCTCTCTCTCTCTCTCTCTCTCTCTCTCTCTCGGCTCTTGTCTTCCAAGAGTCAAAGTCCTTCTCCTCATAGGCTCACACTTTCACATTTTATTTAGAGGCGTAGACACAATAAACAAATTAATATATTTCAGATTATAGTGATTAGTACAAGGAAGAAAATAATGCTGAAAGACACAGTCCCTACCAAACAAGTAGATCTTCATCAATGAGAAGAAATGCTATAAGAAAATATGCAAATATTTTTAATCCCCAAACTTCCATATCTCTCTGAATCTAGGCCTCCCCTGGTGTAAGAGTTAAGGCAGATGATTGCTAAATTCCTTTCCAGCTTAAAAATTCTATGATGCTAGGCTTTAACAAGTACATTTTCTACTGAATTCAACCAATCCCATTACATAGCTCAATAGTTTGACTTTAAAATAACAAAAACACTATTAAAACTTCAGTAAGTAAAAAACACCATGTGAACTCTAAGAAAGAGGACACCTACTAAGAAAGGCACTTGGTGGATAATGGCTCAGTTTTTAAAAAAACAGAGCCTAGGGGCCATTTCTATAAAGGGACCTCTCATGCAAACTGCACTTCCAGAGATGCCTGCACTGAACTGCCAGCCTGCCCTGTGTTCCTGCTGCCTGAGCCCACCCTTATAAAGGAGCTCCTGGGATCCTATTGCAACCAACAGGACTGAGGCTCTCCCCATCCAATCAGAGCTGCACAGCTATAGCCCCATCAACATCCTCAGTGACCAATCAGAGCAGCTCCATTCTGACCAGTCAGTAAAGTGTCTTTTGAACCAATCAAACTTTGAGGATTTGAAGTCATCATCTGCATGAGGACAAACCAAACAGGAACCAGGGGCAGGGACTTCTGTCCATATAGGCTAGTTTTCCTCTGGCTCTGAGAGTCTACTTTCCTTTTCCACCCGAGACTGAAGACTGCATCTCCCTCGCAGAGCTAAAGCACCAAAGGTGTCTCAGAGCACAGCAGAGCAGAGCAGAGCAGCACAGCACACAGCTGACCCGCAAGCAGCAGAGCAGAGCTGTCTAGTTGGAGAGGGGCCTGGCCCCAGGGCTCCTCACAGTCCTGCTGTTTTCACAGCCATGCTTTATCAATTGAGCTGTTTTGCACTGAATAAAGTTCTCTTCTTCACTGCACCCCAAATTGTAGCAAATTGACGCAAATTGTAGCAAATATGTGAGAATACAATGGGGCTCTTAGTGTGTGTATGAATGAAAAACAGAAAACAACTCCAAATAACCAACAACAGAGAACTAGTTAAAAGAGATACCAGGATATCAGTTCAATTGAATACTATGTAGCAGTTCAAACTTTTACAGCTCAACAATAGAAAAACAAATAAACTGATTAAAAAACGGGTGAAAGACTTGAACAGACATTTCTCCAAAGATAATACACAAATGGCCAATAAGCACATGAAAAGATGTTCAACATCACTAGTCATTAGATAAATGCAAATCAAAAGCACGATGAGGGATCACCTCACACCACTAGAATGGTCACTATTAAAAGAACATAAATTAACAAGTGTCAGCAAGGATGTGGATAATTGGAACTCTTGTACACTGCTGATGAGAGTATGAAATGGTGCAGCCACTCTGGAGACCAGCACAGAGGTTCCTTAACAAATTAGAAGTAAAATGACCATATGATCCAGCAATCCCACTTCTGGGTATATGCCCAAAGGAACTGAAAACAGGGTCTTGAAGACAGATTTCCACACCTATGTTCACAGCATCAGTATTCATAATAGTCAAGAGGTAGAAAGCAGCCCCATGTCCCCTGACGAATGGATAAACAAAATGTGGCAAATCCATACAATGGAATATTCCTGAGCTTTAAAATAAAGGAGATTCTGTCACATACAACATGGATGAAGCTTGAGGGCATTATATTAAGTGAAATAAGACAGTTACAAAAAATAAATACTGTATGATTCTACTTATATGAAATATGTAAAGTAGTCAAATTCATAAAGATAGAAACAGAATAGTGGTTGCCAGGGCCTGGCGGGGAGGGAAAACTGGGAGTTATTTACTGGGTATAGTTTCAGTTTTGCAAGACGAAAAAGTTCTGGCAATCTGTGCACAACAGTGTGAGTATATTTAACACTGCTGAACTACAGACTTTAAAAGGTAGACTTTACAGTATGTGAATTATATCTCAAAAAAAAGTTATGTGAAAAAAATTTGAGTCACAAAACTGAAAATAAAAATGTGTATATAGAACAGAAATAAAATGCCAAAAATCTATTGAAAAATGTTAACTGGTTACATTACAGGTGAAAAATGGATATTTCCCCACATTTTCAGACTTCTTCTGGTCAGAATGTGCTGATACGTAAAATATAAGATACATATTTGATATACAAAGGTACTTTCTCTATTTAGGGGTGAAAACAAGAAGGATGATACCTGGGCTGGAGTGTTTGTAGTCACAGGAGACGGCGACTCACTAACTCTTGGCTCACTTGGGGATGCGGCTGAGCCCTGAGACTCCTGGCTGGCAGGCTGATCTGGAGACAAAGCATCACTGCTGTCTTCGTCAAATGAGAAATCGCCCTGAGTTTGGGGATAGCCCTCCTTCCCAACGCCTAAAGAAAGAAATGATTTGTAACTGATCTTGGTCTTGGAATACCAAGCTTAAAATGAAAAAGGAGAAACATTGTTTTTCTGTAAGGACAGTAAGAAGCTGGTTTAAAAAAAAGAACATCATGTACTTCCCAATGGAAGAACCCATTACTACCCACCATAAGTAGCTGGGGGGGAAAAAATCAAACCTGAATAAGATCAAGCCTTTGGATTCAACTACGAGTTTTAGAAAGTACAGTAGACAAGAAAGTTTTTAATGACACCTGGGGATGCAAATGCTTCCAGTAAAATCTGTGGAAATGCTACAGATAAAACAAGCACGTTCATCAACAAATACACAGTAAAAAAGGAAAGGAGGAGGAAGACCCACCTCAAAGGTTAAGACTTAAGAGGCTGGATCAGCCAAAGGCAATGTATGGACCTTGTCTGGATCCTGATTTGGAATCCAACTGTTATAAAACATTATGAGGCAACAGGGAAAGTGGGGCGATGACTGGCTGTCTTGTTAAGTCCCACCTCATGGAGCAGCCCATTATACTGACACCCTATTTTTGGGAGCCCATTTCCTTGGGATTGAAAGGAATTATGGTTGATAGTACTATTTCAAATTATGGACTACAAATTGCCTAAGATTAAAACTCATACTAATGCAAAACAGACAGTCCCCATGAGTAATGGAAACTATCATAGTTTTTCAAGTAGAATATTAACTTTTAAAAATTGCTTGCTGAATAAGTGGCATTATTCAGGATTTTTTTTTTTTCCTGCTAATGCTTATGCCAGAAAAAAAGTGAAAGCATTGGTAACTAAGTATGATAAGAGCAAGATAAAATGGATAAATACTACCATTGATAATGAATGTATCTATACTCATCTGTTTACCTTGCTGAACTAACACTCAACAAACTATTTTTTATTTTTTTTTGAAAGTAAATAGAATGAAAATAATAAAACCGTTAAACAGAACAACAGAAACTAAATAGTACAATACAGTAAGTTTAACTTAGAAAATGTGATAATGAAATCAGAACTTAAAGACTTAAACCTTGGATGTAAGGATAATCTCTGTATTAATTGGTAAGAGATACTATTCTTACAATATCTAATATACAGTCGGCCCTCTGTATCTGCAGGTTCTGCATCCACAGATTCAAACAACCCAGATCAAAAACATTCCAAAAGAAGTCATGTTTTTGCTCACATATACTATGTAGTAGGCCTAACATGGTTGTGTCTGTACTGAACAGGTACAGACTTTTTTCTCAGTCATTATTCCCTAAACAATACAGTTCAACAACTATTTACACAGTACTTACACTGTATTAGGTATTGTAAGTAATCTAGAGATGACTTAAAGTGTATGGGAGGATGGTGGGTAGGTTAACTGCAAACACTACGGTATTTTATTTACGGAACTTGAGCATTCAAGGATTTTGGTATCCATGGGAGGTCCTGGAATCAATCTACCTTGGATACAGAGGGACGACTGTAATAACAACAGTAATAATAGAACCAGTGCAAGTGTTAATTTCTAATTCACCCAGAAAACAATACTTATGATTGGTGCTGGCCTTTTAAATTCAATTTGTTTTCTCTAAAACTGCCAAGGTTTTTCCTCCCAGAATAATGTTTAGAGTCTTGCCTATAATTGCTTCCTTAACACTGGAGTCTACAGGCAGGATGTTTTTCTCTACCAGTTCCATAGGACCAGGTCTCTGAGCAATCTTTTCATTCAGATCATCAGCTAGGCGAGCTCTTTTCAACTTCATCTGAGTGGCCTGCAGGGATGGCTCTGCAAATGTTTCTAAAAGAAGAAACACAGTTTTAACCATTACTTGAATTACTATCTCTAGTCCATAACGCTATTTCAGGCCAAGTAATTTAAGTTAAACTGGTTTGAACATATTGATGTGTTCTTAATGTATTTATGGAAAAAAAAAATGACTCTTTAAGAATGTTCCAGTATACATTTTATGTTTTTAGTCCTGGATAGCTTTATACTTCCTATATAATATGGATAACCAAAGACTCAAATTAATATGAACTCAAGCCAGACATGGGGTACTGCTATTGTTCCTTTATGGCAGGAGGGTCATATTCACATTTATTATGTATTGGGGATACAGAGGGTGAACAAAACAGATGTTGTCCATGGCTCAAGATAACTGTTTTAGATTTAGCTTCACTGCAAAGTCAATTCTTAGAAGGAAAGACATTGTATCTTAGGATAGAAATTTCTCTGCAAGAGTCATTGAGAAGACTTTCAAATCATATTCTTTTATTGATTCCTGTGTGTCTCAGAGTTGATCATCATAATTAAGAATTTGGGTTTATTTCTGATACATAACTTGTGTCTGTTAGGAACATTCAATTACTGTACATAGTTAATTAATGGTCATATAGAAACATCAACTCATCTACTTATAAATACATGAAGTTGTGAAACAGATACTATAAATATCATAACTTGCTCATTTGAGTAATTCTGTCAACTACTTGTGTTTCTCATAATTCTAACATTTTATTTCATTGATCTAAGTAATGTTTATAATTGATTAAAAATAATGATGAGGTGTTAATGCAAAATTCTGAGTTGAAAGTTGCTTGCCTCTTAAATTACACAAGAAAAGGTCTTTTAATGAAATTCCCCATAAGTATTCCTCATTTTGTAGGTAAAATGTCCTTGTCAAAGCCTGAAGGACACTGCAAGCCCAAGGCCGATAAACTACACTTGGCACATCTGACCCTTGACACAGTAAAAAATCCACATATAACTTTTGATTCCTTAAAACCTTAACTACTAATAGCCTACTGTTGACCAGAAGCTTTACTGATAACCTAAATAGCTGATTAACACATATTTTGTATGTTATCTGTATTATATGCCATATTCTTATAATAAAGCTAGAGAAAAATGATACTAAGAAAATCGTAAGGAAGACAATATACATTTATAGCATTTACTGATAAAAACTGTGTATAAGTGGATCTGTACAGTGCAACCTGTGTTGTTTATGGGTCACTGCACTTCTCTTTCCACCAGCTAACCAAGAGTCACCCTTGATTCACCACAAAATAGTTCGTATCTGTTGGAATTGCTACTGTGAATAAATACATCATACAGCTAAATGTTATAGGGAAAGACAAACCTCAAAAATAAAATGATTATTTCTTGGAAACCTGTATAAATGCTTTGGAACAACTTGATAAAGGTGAGTCATTAAAAAAAAAAATCATTGTAAAATGAGGGCAATCAATAACTGTAAAAGATTTGGGGGAAAATTGTGAAACCTAGGATTTTAAAAGTCAGGTTGCTTTTTAAGGTCCTTTAAGTTTCTCTTTCACTGTAAATGGAAATCGCAGACAGTGTACAATGGTTGTGCTTTATGCAAGAAAGATGAAGAGAAATCCATTCACTAAAGCCTTCCCCAAAGTGAAGGCCCTAGCCCTCAGTCAGAATTTTGGCAAGTATTTGCATGTTTATATTTTAAAATAACATGTGTGGTCATCTCTTTATGATTTTTTTGTATAACTAACTGTGGCCCCAATCATGCCACAGTGGAATGATAGGTGGGAGAAATTAGATCATGCAAACCACCCTTAGGTTGATATTTAAATGCTTCTGTTAAGATCCAGGTAGGATGGTCTTTGGCGTTTCTCTTTCCCATCAACACCATCTAAGTGATCAGGAATATGTTTGGAAAGAAAATATTCCAAAAAGAAATAACCAGAGGCTGGCATTTTGGTATGTTTCTGTTCCCAGTCTTATTACCGCCTCATTTCCATTAGGCTGAGGCTGGATTTTAGCTGCTGAACTTCAGAAGATAATTTAGACTTTTGCCTGCCAAATATCCAACCCAATCAAAATTGGGATAATGGTAAAATAAGTTGGGGGTGGTTTTAAGGTATTTTAAAAATTGCAGATGACACATTTTTTCTTACTTCAGAAATCCCAACTTGAGAACAGATGTCCTAAAAACATCACTTACAGTTCATTCATGTACATGATTAGATTTTTAAATGTTGGGCAGCCTTCTTTACAGAAAGCATATATGATTGCTTTTGATACTGAAATGTATTTGCCTTGGTTCTAATTATATTAATAAAGCCTGTTACAGTTAGGAGGTAAGTTGAAACAGGCAGCACTGTTCCTCCAAAAATGTCCCTTAGAGGTCAAGATATTTGCAGGCAGAGAAGGAGCCATTTACCTAGTCACTCACCAGTAAATTTACTTCTTTGGAGATTCATTTATCCCTGATGGTTGGTAGCTGCTTCTACCCTATCACTGGAGTTCTGGAAAAGCCTTTTTAGTCCAGTGGACTTCTGAGAACGCAACCCAAAGTAGAGTCTATTGGTTGGGGGCTCTTACTTCTTGCCCCAGATATGAAATAGTCACATAATCATAGATTCTTCAGACTAGAAGAGACCCTACTTGGGGTTACAGAGGCTAACTTCATACTTGGAACTTTTTTACAACATCCTTAATGTGGTGTTAGCCTGTGCTTATTGCCTATCACAGCAGCCTGTTTATTCCTTATAGAGCACTTTTCTGATCTGTAATTCATCTGTTTTGTCTGTTTATATGTCTGTGCCATTAGAATGCAACTCCATGAAGACAGGCTCACCAGCCAATGAATAAACACCTTTGATAACAGCAACCATGTGGCTTCTTGAAGATTTTACATTTGGACATGTCTAACCTTTAGGATATTATTCCTTATGTTGAGCTACAACCTAATACTTTATAATGACAACCTAATTCTAATACTAAATCTGTCATCAGGCCAGAGAGATCAAATCTAATCTTCCTTTTACCTGATAATTGCATCTAAATATTTGAGAAGTTTTCAGATTCTTTCTGTATCTTCTCAAAGTTTAACACACCGAAGACTATCACAGGGTCACATTCCTAGTCTTGCTCAATAAATTAGAGAAGCAAAACAATGAAAGAAAATGTAACTTGAGGAATTTATGGTTTAAGAATGCTCTGTCTTCAGCCACTGTGGAAAACAGTATGGAGGTTCCTCAAAAAATTAAAAATGGAATTGCTGTTTGACCAGCGATCCCACTTCTGGGAATATCTTCTAGGAATCCTGAAACACCAATCAGCGAGAATATATGCACCCCTATGTTCATAGCAGCATTATTTACAATAGCCAAGATCTAGAAACAGCACCAGTGCCCATCAGTAGATGAGTGGTACAGCCCTGGCCAGTGTAGGTCAGTTGGTTGGAACACCATCCCATACACCAGAAGGTGGTGGGTTCAATTCTCGGTCAGAGCAAATACCCACGTCGCGGGTTCAATCCCTGGTCAGAGCATGCAGGAGGCAACCGATCAATATTTCTCTCTCACATTGATGCCCCCCACCAAAAAAAGTTAGAAAAAAAGTTGGAAAAAAAGATGTGGGACATTTACACAATGGAATATTATGCGGCTATAAAAAAGAAGGAACTCTTACCCTTTGCAACACTATGGATGGACCTTGGAGACTATTATATTCAGCGAAATAAACCAGTCAGAGAAAGACAAATACCATATGTCTCACTTACATATGGAATCTAATGAACAAAATAAACTGATAAACAAAATATGACCAGATGCATGGATACCTGGAACAGATTG